TAAAATAACATAAAATCCTTGAAAAGTGTGTAATATCAAAAGAATTTTAAAAAAGTAATCTTTTCTTTTGAACTATTTTTTTCTAGTTTCCAGATCACTTTCTTCGCAAAAAACGTTATCAACTAATAAATTGTGCTCTGCCACAACAAGCGGTAAGTTTTTCTTTTTTTGAAGAGCTTATCAGTAAGTTCATAAAAGATGTTTGGAGTATAGCATGGTTATAAAGATATTGCAGCATCAAAAATAATTCATTAAATTTTGACGTTTAAGTGATTATGAGGCACTTGTACAACTAGCCTAATGGAAATGTCTGGACAGTGTACTTACGTTCTTTTGTGGATACTTTATCTGCTTGTGTTAAAAAGAATGGCAGACCTAGGGAATTAATAAATTGTGACATTTTCAAAGTTGCTTCCTTAATCTAGAACAGAAAAAAGTATATTTTTTACATGTTAGAAATGTTTCATGTTGAGTTTCAACTGTTTTATATTATTTGTTGGACTGGTATTTGAATTAATACTTCTTTAAATGCAGTGGAGCCACAAAAAACTGTTTTTTTAAACATAATTTGACACCTGTTTCTTCAAGGTGCCTCACTAAATACAAAAAGTTCAGAAAGATATGGTTATACAACAAGTTTCGGTATTATTATTGGCAGTGTTGTGGTGTTTTTTGGCATTATCTTATTTGTCATCTTTTATTGTTATGTAAAGCAAAGTAAGCTCTAGCGTTCAACTTTTTATGTTCGCCAAATTTGAATAAGATTTAAGATTCTTTTGTGTTATTTTTATTATGGAAAATGAACAACGGTAAGTGATTTATTCATTATAATTAGCACTTATTACTTGTCATTTCTTTCCGTTTGCTATGCAATTTTTTTCGAAAGTGATTTCAAAAGAAACCAGTAGGGCACAACTGATTCTAGGACGTTCTAGTCACGCCTCTGTTGCTCATATACACTTAGCGTTATCAATAGTGCTTTTATGAAGCTATATTTAGTATATATCATCAGACGAAATCATCAGTTTAAAGTATACTAATATATGCTATGGTTCTCGATGTTCAAGTGGTTAGCACTATTTTCCACCCAGCAAACCGCCCTTTACTTTGAAATATAATATTTTACACAATCTAATATTTTACACAATCTAATATTTTATATAATATTTTACACAATCGTCGAAAACGACATATTTTCAAGCCTGGATTATAAGTTTATAACTTAAGGTGGTTACATGAAAATTTATACTGTAACATTTATCTGTAAATATTTTCATATGTTGATATTAAAAACTGTATTATAAAAATATAAAATTACTCGCCATCTCAAAACGAACTAGCACCAGTGCATGCATGGTTTCCTTTTAGCTTTGGTTCTTTCCCATTAGCCGCCATCTTAAATTTATTTCCGATTGTGTAAAGTAAAGGGCGGTTTGCTGGGTGTAAAATAGTGCTAACCTGTTCAAGTAGTAAAAATGTCATTCCTGGTCATAAGCTTGACGAAGAATTTTCGGTTAATGACGATATTCGAAAGCCGAAACCAAAAGGAATCATTGCCAGTGGTGTTTGATAAAGACAAAAGGGAAGAAAAAATACTGTCTAAGCATTATTTTAGTGTTGTTTTTTGATTGAATGACTGATATGTAGCTGGACATAATAATTAAATTGACGACGAACAAAACTAGAAGTTATTCACCTTTTTAGGTTCTTACATTTTACAAAAGCCTTACGTACTATTTCAACCCTCTCAGTTGATCTTGTACTAAATTTTCTAAAGAGTCTACTCTTCAATTCGTCGGCAAAACCTATATTCTGTCAGCTACATGCTTCATTTATAAACGTTTTGTTTTCATTGTATTTAGCTTTGATCGACAAAGGTAAAAAAGTAGCTGCATAGTGTTAAACAATTTTGTAAATTTAATGCATTTATATAACAGACACCTCGCTTATTTAGTCCTGTTGTAGTTATTTGTGTTCACTTTCCGCAAAAGCAATAAATTTTAAAATACATTGAGTAATAATTAATATTCTTAAATTTACAAAACAGCCTTTACTTGTGTACTGCAATAAATTAATAAGAATGTTTTATAGACATTTAGCAGTCAACTTTAAAACAGAGAGACATGCATACGTAATTAAGCGAAAGTTTAAAAAATTTGTAACAGAATAGAGGAGAGAAAAATTCAGAACGAGTTTGTGATCTGGGTAAACCAAACTTTTTTTATTCTATTTTACATTTACATTTTTATTCTGTTCGAATAGTCACGTGATTTATTAGGTGAGGTTTTTGTTAATGCATTCAAAATTATGTGAAAGAGCGTCGAAGTCTCAGAAAAGGTTACTAAATCCATATCAGCAAATAATACGATTAACGTTTGCGGCAAAACAAAAATGTTTCTATGTCGAGTCAGAAGACTAAATAATGCCAGCCTCTGAAGAAGGCAAAACACCAACTTCAGAGGAAACACGTGCACCAAACTCAGAGGACGTTTTAGATAATTCAGCCACAGACGTCATTAATATGCAGCATAATTATGACGATATTGTTAGTTTGTTTGGTGGAAATCATTTTAATAATATTGATTCAAAGAATGACGAGTTTTTTCAAGAAATCGACGTTAGTTAAGACCTTCCGATGCATGCGGCTCAGCGATTCATCCCAAATTCGCTTAGATTACAAATGAAAAATATTCTTCGAATATTGGGCTTGAAGAGCGCAGAAAAATAATTGAAAAATCTAAGCCACCGCAAAAATTGCGACAAACTTACTGTGCCCAAACTCAATGAGCTTATATAGTCAAGCCTTAAAAAAATTCATGTCAGCGAGATTTGCGCACCGCAGTAAAAATGAGCATCTTGAGGCAGATAAGAACAAGTATTCGCATTTGAAAGAAATGTGGTTGTCATACGTTAATTTGTAGCAGGACACGTTAGATGTTGATGTTTTGATAGGTGCGGATAACCTTTGGGCAATTCAACAAGGAGAGATAATTAGGGGCAAGGATGACAAACCCGTTGCCATCAATACTTGTTTAGGTTGGGTAATAAGCGGTCCACTGAAAGGGAGCTCGAACTTGAAAAACGCACACGTTAATTGGATGAAGGGCAATGATGTATTGTCCATATGAACTGTTCAACATGCTTCCAAACAAAATTAGCAGGAATATTCAGTTGATTAAGCTATGATAAACCTTTCACCTTTTAAAGGCTCTTACAGACGAACAAATTTTCTATGACAAAACTCTATGTTACCATTTTTTTGTGACAAATGTCCATGTGCACGTGCAGCAAATTTTCTTTGGCAAGTTTTTCATGTGGCATATTTTCTTTGACCGTCTGTACCCATCAACAAATTTTGTGTGACAAATGTTGTGGCCCGCGATATAATAGCACAGCATAGATCAAAGAGAATACGCGGGAAAATCAGCGATAATCAAAGTAAACAATCGTCGGCTGTTCAACGATGCCATATTTGAGTAAACACAAATATGGCATCTAATAGTAATATAATATTATTATATATATATAATATTAAAATAACATGTATAATATTATATATATATATATATATATTTGAAAATTGGTAACCCAGGCATATTATGATAAATATATAATTATAAAATGAACTAAAATAAAATGGACAATTGTTTGCTGTCGCTACTCGGAGTTTCACGCCGTAAGGCGATCTTCAGGCAACTGACAGATTATATATTATTTGCTGACTATATATTATTATATATTATTATTATTATATTTGCTGACTATATATTATTATATATATATATTTAACACTACTTTAATAAGCACTTCTCGAAGTGAATTTCAGTTTAGCAATTTTGAAATAGGTATTATATATAAATAATATTATATAATATATTATATTATATTATATTATATTACATAATATTATATTATTATATTTACATATATATTATTAAGTTTGAAATTTTGTAATCCAGGCATTGAATACATAAAGAGAAACGTTTCTCCGGATTTTAAATGATTTTTATTGAGCTTTCGACTCGTTGCTTCGAGCCTCGATCAGAGCCTCGATCAGAGACTCGTTGCTGGGAGGGCACATTGTTGTACACTTGGTATATATTATTATAAATAGGAAGTTTTGTTTATTTGAATCTCCGTAAGTACAGTGCTCGATGCTTAAGAGCAGAGCGTATATTATCCCCTGAAGAGTGAGAAATCACGAAACAGGCTTGTCGGGATGAAATTGTAGTTTTTGTGTATTTTCTTCTTCTCATCAATATTATTATATATATATATAATACTACTTTAATAAGCACTTCTCGAAGTGAATTTCAGTTTAGCAATTTTTTAAACGCCAACAGGGGCGGATTTAGGGGGGGGGGCGAAACGGCCGCAAACCCCCCTTTTGCTGGAAAAAAAACAAAAAAATTGAATGATAATAAAAAATGACAGGAAAGTTTTAGTTTTTAAACAAGTTCAAAGAGTTCGGCTCCCTTTTTCACAATCTCCTGGACCACCCCTGGCCAAGGTTCTAAACTAAGCATTCTTGAAACTAATTTTATTTGCAATGTTTAGAAACATTTTTTCTGAGAAACTTTGTATAGTTACAACAAAACTTGCGGACTTCATACTAAAAACCTATTTTGTAGGTATCACACACATTGATTCAAGTTGAAATTGAAATATTTTAGATGCAAAGATGATATTGATATCCCTACCAAAAAAAGAAACTAAAAGAAAAGCAATATTAACTTGGATCGTTTCATATGCTGGACATCGAAGACATGTGGTAGACATCAAAACAGTCCCCCATAAAAACATTGAAACAACAAACACTTACAAAAAAATACATGAAAAGAATGATCTATTGTTAAACATCACAGCCAAATGTACTACAAAAACAAAACCGCTTGTACTTCTAAATGTGTTTTTGGCTCCACACAAACCAATACATTCCTCTACATTTTTAAGTAATAATTCAAATAGAATTTTGTCCTTTTGCATTGGCAAAGTTTTTCTTTTAATTTATCACTTCCAGCGATCAACTGCAAATCAATACTGATAGAGTGTCGCGTATTTAAGAATACATCATAAATACATCATAGCGCCTTACTTTTAGTGTAATGTTTTCATAGGAACTTTGCTGTATTATTGTAAGTGGCGAAAATTCACACGAGTCAGTCAGTCAGTCAGTCAGTCATAATGAAAACCTTCTGGGTGGTGTCTAGTAATAACACTCATTTTATGTTTAATGATTTTTTAGAAATTTATTATTAGTTTATCAGCGATTCTTAAAAAAGATTTTAACACCATTTTCAACTCACATTAGTTAAGACATTTATAACAATGTATCTACCCCGTTTTATCCCCAGCAGCTCTATTATTTGAAAAAATATCTAAATGCGCATGCGCTATTTTTGTTCAAACTGTATCATGAATTGTGTATTAAGAGTAAAGTAAGGGGAAATAGAATATTCCAAAATCCAAAAAATTTGTTTTAACTATGACGCTTTTCATTAATGCTGGCACTGTTGACAAATGTTTTGAAGATTTTGCAAGCTCGAGTTTTTATAGAATGTAAGAATATTGCTATTTAATTCGCCGTATTGCCGTATATTTGCCAAGTACTTGGCTAGTGCTGTTTGTTTAGCAACCTGCTATCAACTTCTTGTCTAACTACATTCATACACTACGTGTTGGTGAATTCGTCTTAAACATATGACAGTAAAATTTGAAGTTGCGCACACATCTGCCTCGGTAAGAAACATTTTACGAGAAATAAAGTGCACTATTACTGTCCCTGAAGAAAGCATTAGTTGTGGTGTGCTTTAGAACAATATGACAAAGTCATGTAAGACATTATTAATTTGTCGACTTTCATGTAATCGTTACGAAAGTGCAAATACGAAATGAATGTTCATTCACGCAAACTTGCCAAAAACTGGACTTATTCATCAAATGATGCAAATTGTACTACGTAAATATTTATTGAATACCGTTGCATTTTACTGCTCGTTGCCTTATTATTAAATCGCAAACAAATCAATTTATTCTTCCGAACACATGAGCTTCGCATATGTGTCAGAAGAATAAAAAAATACAACATAACCGAAACAAAGAAAGTAAATCATGAGTGATTTCGTAATTTTTAAGTTGTATACTGCAAAGTAAAAAAAAAGAACGCGACGGGTAAATGACGAATGTATGATTGGGGCGTGCCAAATGTCCTTATTATGTATACGCTATGTAAGTGCAAATACGAAATTAAGGTTTATTTACGTTTAAGGCTATTCGTCAAGAAACAAACTGCTTAGCCTTTAATAAGCACTTCTCGAAGTGAATTTCGGGCGGATTTAGGTGGGGGCGAAACGGCCGCAAACCCCCCTTTTGCTGGAAAAAAAACAAAAAAATTGAATGATAATAAAAAATGACAAGAAAGTTTTAGTTTTTAAACAAGTTCAAAGAGTTCGGCTCCCTTTTTCACAATCTCCTGAACCACCCCTGGCCAAGGTTCTAAACTAAGCATTCTTGAAACTAATTTTATTTGCAATGTTTAGAAACATTTTTTCTGAGAAACTTTGTACAGTTACAACAAAATTTGCGGATTTCATACTAAAAAACCTATTTTTGTAGGTATCACACACATTGATTCAAGTTGAAATTGAAATATTTTAGATGCAAAGATGATATTGAAATCGAAACCAAAAAAAGAATTAAAAAGTCCAGCTATGTTAATATGGATCGTTTCATACACAGGTCATCAAAGACCTGTGGTACACATCAGAACAGTCCCCCATATAAAATTAGAAGCAACAAAAACTTCCAAAAAAATGCATGGAAAGAATGATTTTTGTTAAACATCACAACCAAATGTACTACAAAAACAAACACGATTGTATTTCTACAAGTGTTTTTGGGTCCATTCAAAGCACTTTTCGATCATGCGACGATACTTCCTTCAGGTAATTTAGCCTTATCAGGAATTTAAGTTGAATGATTTTGCTGCGCTTGATAAGTCGTTTAGGCAATTTACTAAACAATATTGTGTGTCGACTGCGCATACAAATTGGATGGCATACAGTTCCAATAACGAATCGGTGGACGCATAACTGCTTTGTGTTAACGCGCAAAGGAGAAAAAACTGCAACACAAAGTATAGTGCAATCAAGATAATTTTTTACAAAAAAAAACATAGAGCTTAACATGATCGATCTGACTTTTGTGGACTGTAACATACCAACAATTTTGTGGGCATTGCAGCTGCTGTCGCAATTTATGAATATTGTATATACTTTCTATCTTATTTGGTATACATTTGTCGTAATTAATGTCAGGATAATCACCTAAAGCCTCACCCATTTCATTGACTTATGGCAGGATTGGCTCTCCAAAATGCTACCCTCTAATTAACCTTTGTGCGAGACAAGATTTTCTTTCATTCTGAACTGCAGTGATTGATGTCTTTTTGGAAAAAGTAATTCGAGCGTTGTACCCAAATAGCAATATTTTGAATTGATACACCTTGATGCGAATGAACTAGAGCTCAGGTTGATCAGGAAAGTTTAAAGCTCTTATAAAAAGTTCAGTTTCTTGTGATAAATGCTAAGATGCATGTAGTTGTTGTGCTATTTACCAATAATACAGAATGTAGGAACTCCAATAATGATATAGATATTGCCTTGAAGAATAACTATCAATGATGTCAGATTTAGTGAAAATCGTTAATGAGCAAAAGTCACGATTGCAAAATCAGGATCATGTCTTTGTTAATTTTTAGTATAAGTCAATTTTCATACTAGAGACGGATCATCTGTATGGAGGAATGATCCGTCTAACAGATTATACGTCTAAGTATAAAGACGAGACGAACTATCTATTAGTAAACTAAACAAATTCCAATTTTGCCTTTGGAAGATTTTGGAGCGAGTTATGAACTACGAAGTATCATTTTTTCCGTAGTTTGTCCTAATTTCACATTTGTATTCACAGAAGGATGATACGTCAAGTCAAAATACCCGTGCAAATTCGTCTAAATAAACAAACTACTCAAATAATTCAATTAAGTACCAACAGCAAATAATACAATTAAGTTGTCAAAGCTGCTTAGTTGCTTAATATGAAGTTCATAGGTACAAAATTTAATTGATCACTTAAATCATCTCGAAATATGGTTTTGGACAATTGATACAAAACTTAATAGATTTTCTTTTCCATTTAATGGCAGTGTGGTTGTATTTTAAAATAACATAAAATCCTTGAAAAGTGTGTAATATCAAAAGAATTTTAAAAAAGGAATCTTTTCTTTTGAACTATTTTTTCTAGTTTCCAGATCACTTTCTTCGCAAAAAAAACGTTATCAACTAATAAATTGTACTCTGCCACAACAAGCGGTAAGTTTTTCTTTTTTTTTAGGGGAGGGGAGGGGGGTGAAGAGCTTGTCAATGAGTTCATAAAAGAGGTTTGGAATATACGTGCAGAACTAAAAAATTCCTATAGTTGTGGTAGCTTAATTTACACGCTTTAGTGTTAGCTTTCCCTGGGTATTTGTTTCTTGAAAATTTAATTTTTTTTTAAGCAGCAATTGGTCAGCTACGTGATTTTTCTTTGTACTCTTGTTCTCAGTGGTGTAGTTATGAAAGGCGAATTTTTGACGTAGTTGTATATTTTACTAGATTAATACATATGTTGGAAATGCAAGATATATAGATCATCAAATCAAATTAGAGTCTCGAATTTGTCATATACATATTCGAATTTATAGTTGCATGCCAGCATTTAATTATGAAATTGCTGTAATGGTGTTCATTTAGCCGAACTGTGGTAATATTATGTCTAAAATACTTTTTTGGGGGGTCACCGGATTACTTCTTCTAATTGATTGCAAAATGTTTGCTTGCAGTTGTATTTTAACTTGGAGGCAAAATCATAAAGAATACATCGTTGAAAATAAGAATGGAGGCGGCAGTTGCCCGTATTTTTAATTTTCTTTGTCAATATGAGGACGCCAACAAAAATTGATACATGAAAGTGGAAAGAGTTTATCATGCTTACAGCCGTTAATTGCAACATCCACAAAAAGGCCATATTTGACATCTTCAAATTCGTATTTAGTTGTGGCATAACAATATTCAAACATGCACCATGAAATGCACACTATTCGCCACACATTCGCAAACAAGTAATAAAAACACGCTGTTGATCGTTGAACTTTTAACGAAAGCTTAATAAACCTTCCTCTACATTTTAAATAATAATTCAAATAGAATTTTGTCCTTTTGCATTGGCAAAGTTTTTCTTTTAATTTATCACTTCCAGCGATCAACTGCAAATCAATACTGATAGAGTGTCGCGTATTTAAGAATACATCATAAATACATCATAGCGCCTTACTTTTAGTGTAATGTTTTCATAGGAACTTTGCAGTATTATTGTAAGTGGCGAAAATTCACACGAGTCAGTCAGTCAGTCAGTCAGTCATAATGAAAACCTTCTGGGTGGTGTCTAGTAATAACACTCATTTTATGTTTAATGATTTTTTAGAAATTTATTATTAGTTTATCAGCGATTCTTAAAAAAGATTTTAACACCATTTTCAACTCACATTAGTTAAGACATTTATAACAATGTATCTACCCGTTTTATCCCCAGCAGCTCTATTATTTGAAAAATATCTAAATGCGCATGCGCTGTTTTGTTCAAACTGTATCATGAATTGTGTATTAAGAGTAAAGTAAGGAAATAGAATATTCCAAAATCCAAAAATTTGTTTTAACTATGACGCTTTTCATTAATGCTGGCACTGTTGACAAATGTTTTGAAGATTTTGCAAGCTCGAGTTTTATAGAATGTAAGAATATTGCTATTTAATTCGCCGTATTGCCGTATATTTGCCAAGTACTTGGCTAGTGCTGTTTGTTTAGCAACCTGCTATCAACTTCTTGTCTAACTACATTCATACACTACGTGTTGGTGAATTCGTCTTAAACATACGACAGTAAAATTTGAAGTTGCGCACACATCTGCCTCGGTAAGAAACATTTTACGAGAAATAAAGTGCACTATTACTGTCCTTGAAGAAAGCATTAGTTGTGGTGTGCTTTAGAACAATATGACAAAGTCATGTAAGACATTATTAATTTGTCGACTTTCATGTAATCGTTACGAAAGTGCAAATACGAAATGAATGTTCATTCACGCAAACTTGCCAAAAACTGGACTTATTCATCAAATGATGCAAATTGTACTACGTAAATATTTATTGAATACCGTTGCATTTTACTGCTCGTTGCCTTATTATTAAATCGCAAACAAAGCAATTTATTCTTCCGAACACATGAGCTTCGCATATGTGTCAGAAGAATAAAAAAATACAACATAACCGAAACAAAGAAAGTAAATCATGAGTGATTTCGTAATTTTAAGTTGTATACTGCATAGTAAAAAAAAAGAACGCGACGGGTAAATGACGAATGTATGATTGTGGCGTGCCAAATGTCCTTATTATGTATACGCTATGTAAGTGCAAATACGAAATTAAGGTTTATTTACGTTTAAGGCTATTCGTCAAGAAACAAACTGCTTAGCCTTTAATAAGCACTTCTCGAAGTGAATTTCGGGCGGATTTAGATGGGGGCGAAACGGCCGCAAACCCCCCTTTTGCTGGAAAAAAACCAAAAAAATTGAATGATAATAAAAAATGACAGGAAAGTTTTAGTTTTAAACAAGTTCAAAGAGTTCGGCTCCCTTTTTCACAATCTCCTGGACCACTCCTGGCCAAGGTTCTAAACTAAGCATTCTTGAAACTAATTTTATTTGCAATGTTTAGAAACATTTTTTCTGAGAAACTTTGTATAGTTACAACAAAATTTGCGGACTTTATACTAAAAAACCAATTTTGGTAGGTATCACACACATTGATTCAAGTTGAAATTGAAATATTTTAGATGCAAAGATGATATTGATATCCCTACCAAAAAAAGAAACTAAAAGTCCAGCAATATTAACTTGGATCGTTTCATATGCTGGACATCGAAGACCTGTGGTAGACATCAAAACAGTCCCCATAAAAACATTGAAACAACAAAACTTTCAAAAAATACATGGAAAGAATGATCTATTGTTAAACATCACAACCAAATGCACAAAAAACAAAACGATTGTATTTCTACAAGTGTTTTGGGTCCATTCAAAGCACTTTTCGATCATGCGACGATACTTCCTTCAGGTAATTTAGCCTTATCAGGAATTTAATTTGAATGATTTTGCTGCGCTTGATAAGTCGTTTAGGCAATTTACTAAACAATATTGTGTGTCGAGATCGCATACAATTTGGATGGCATACAGTTCCAATAACGAATCGGTGGACGCATAACTGCTTTGTGTTAACGCGCAAAGGAGAAAAAACTGCAACACAAAGTATAGTGCAATCAAGATAATTTTTACAAAAAACATAGAGCTTAACATGATCGATCTGACTTTTGTGGACTGTAACATACCAACAATTTGTGAGCATTGCAGTTGCTGTCGCAATTTATGCATATTGTATATACTTTCTATCTTATTTGGTATAATTTTGTCGTAAATAATGTCAGGATAATCACCTAAAGCCTCACCCATTTCATTGACTTATGGCAGGATTGGCTCTCCAAAAATGCTACCCTCTAATTAACCTTTGTGCGAGACAAGATTTTCTTTCATTCTGAACTGCAGTGATTGATGTCTTCTTGGAAAAAGTAATTCGAGCGTTGTACCCAAATAGCAATATTTTGAATTGATACACCTTGATGCGAATGAACTAGAGCTCAGGTTGATCAGGAAAGTTTAAAGCTCTTATAAAAAGTTCAATTTCTTGTGATAAATGCTAAGATGCATGTAGTTGTTGTGCTATTTACCAATAATACAGAATGTAGGAACTCCAATAATGATATAGATATTGCCTTGAAGAATAACTATCAATGATGTCAGATTTAGTGAAAATCGTTAATGAGCAAAAGTCACGATTGCAAAATCAGGATCATGTCTTTGTTAATTTTTAGTATAAGTCAATTTTCATACTAGAGACGGATCATCTGTATGGAGGAATGATCCGTCTAACAGATTATACGTCTAAGTATAAAGACGAGACGAACTATCTATTAATAAACTAAACAAATTCCAATTTTGCCTTTGGAAGATTTTGGAGCGAGTTATGAACTACGAAGTATCATTTTTTCCGTAGTTTGTCCTCATTTCACATTTGTATTCACAGAAGGATGATGCCTCAAGTCAAAATACCCGTGCAAATTCGTCTAAATAAACAAACTACTCAAATAATTCGTAAGCATCTTGACGGATGATCTGTAAGTTTGCGCGTATATACACACAGACGAACTTGAAGACGAACTATGTTTTGCTTGCTCAAGTTTGTCCAGATAGATGATCAGTCTTTAGCATAAATCTGGCCAAGCAGTAACTTCTTTACACCACTTTCAGAAAGACACTAATCTAATCCAATAATAAACTCTTCAAGAGTAAACTCCTTCAGCCCTTCCGCTTCCTACGCCTATACACACATATACACACATATTGACACAGATAATGGTTGTCAACTAATAAACAGTTTAATTCGTGCATATTATTTATCATATGGGTTTATAATTATGGGTGCATGCAAATGACTGTTTCACATTTCATTCTCGTTGTATGACGACAAACTTTTACCTAGGGAAACTCGATTACAAAGTTTGCTTTTTTAGCTAAATACTATTAATCCTATTCTGTTCTTGCTCATTTCACAAATTATGTCAATACGATGTCTTATTGTAATGGCACATTAAACAATCAGTAGAACATTTGTTAACAGCGAAGTATAAACAATTTTGCATTTTCTTTATTTCGAAAGTCAACTAGGCCCTGAGAAAAGGCTTGCAAAATTTTAGGAATCGAAACATTCCTAGTAAATTTTAATCTAAGCAATTTTAAATCATTTAAATGTATGTCTGTTTAAAAATGGATTTTTATCCACCCTTCCCCGACAGTTGTTTTAGGTTTACATAACAGGAGAGCCAGCGGTGCATCAAACTTGCATGGGATCCCTCCGAACCAAACCTCAAGCCTCCCTTGATCACCACACGTTGAAAACAAAACATCAACTTGACACATGACGAAAGCATTCAACCTTTCCCCGTAATAAGTATAATGTAATAATTACAATGTAATGTTTCGTGCTGGGACTTCTGTCTTCCTTTGGCGCTATTATAAGGCGGTATAGAAATAAAAAAATGACTTTGCTGTATGCGGGCCCCTCAAAACGCATGGCCTCTTAAAACAGAGGCAACCACTTAAAACACACCCTGAGGAGTATCAAAGGGTGTGTGTCGGTTATATGGTCTTTGCCACACATATATAAGCCTCTCTTAAATGACTTTTCCTCATACTAGAGTTCGATTATATCAAAATTACAACGAAGATGACAAAACCTATAAATAAAATTTCCACTGCTGCGGTTGCACCAATACATCAAACTGTTCATTTAAAGAATGGTATGTTAGTATATTATATAACAATAAATTATCTATGCATGTATTATATGTCCTATCTTATGTAAGGAGTGAGAAAATACTAACAAAACTTGAGATAAAATCCTGAATACTAGCTTTAATCATAAAACAAGCGATAACTAAATCAACAATCTCATAAAAAATATGCATCAGTAGGTACGTCTACATCCGCTGTTTAATTAAATTCATCGGACCTTGTTAGAAATGATCCAGAATGGGAAAGTTGGGACTTTTCCAAGCTTACTGAAGCAGTCAGACAGTGGACCAGGCGAAATCCAGTCTGTGAGAAAGAGTCAGACACTCCTGGATGTAAATCTAGAAGGTCAGAGAAAGTCTTTCATACCAAAGAAAAGGGGGATGTGCGTCTACTGTGAAGGAAATCATAAATCGGGGGAATGTAAAGTAATCAGTACTGTCAAAGAGAGAAGAGCAATTTTAGTCAAAAAGAAACTTTTTTTCAACTGCACAGCAGGACAGCATTATGCTAACGCTTGCCCCAGCAAGTCATCATGCAGAAATTGACACAAACGACACCATACGAGCATATGTGATGTCAACAATCGAGAAGAACCACCAAAAACAGGTCAGACTGTGTTGACTACAGATGGATGTACTGGTGAAGGAATTTTCCCCATTCTTGTTGTCAAGATAAATGGAATTACATGTCGTGCATTGATCGACTCAGGGGCTGGAAGCTCATACATATCTGGTAAACTTGCATCTATGCTGAGGGTGAAACCAATTGAGACACAAACCACTAAAGTTGACATGCTTCTAACATCAAAAACAACAAGACTGGAAATCTATAAAGGGGAAGTTGAAGCAATAGACAGTGATTCAATGAAGGTGAAGTTGATCAAGTTGGAGAAACAAGAGTTACTCACAGTGGACAATCCACACTATGAAAACTTACAAAGAGAGTTTGAACACCTGAAGAATGCAAAATTTGTTGATAATGATCAGAAAGCTCAATTACCTGTCCATATCGTTTTGGGAAGCGGGGAATATGCACGGATAAAAACTCGCACGAATCCACTAGTGGGAACTGAGAGGCAACCAATTGCAGAAAAAACAAAACTCGGATGGTTTGCCATGAGCCCTGGTGTGGAGCCAGACAGTAAAAGGATGTTGCCTACCCAAGTTTCGCAGAAGGATTATGAAGATCTCTGCCGGTTGGATGTGCTGGGCCTAGCAGACACTGCTGAACACGACCAATCAATGGTGTATAACGAATTCAAAGAGCAATTAACGCGATCACCGGAGGGTTGGTACGAGACCGGGCTTCCATGGCGCGGAAATCATCCACCTCTCCCATCAAACAAAACAGGAAGCATCAGAAGGTTGAAATCTTTAGAGCGACGATTACAGCGAAAGAAATTAACTGAAGATTACAATGCAGTAATCCAAGACCAAAAGCACAATGGCACAGTTGAACCAGCAACTAACGTAGCAAAAGGTAATGAATTCTACATACTTCAAAGACTTCTGATGCAAAAAATAATCTTCTATTTACAGGAAATATAGCAGTTCAAAATAAGGACGAAACATTTTTGTTTCGACGTGGAACTTCTATAAACATAACATGGGAGCTTAAAGTTTCGTCCCCGATTACATTACATTTGTGGGTTTTTACTCCCCATGGCTACTCTTCCAGTAGAGATCTTGCAGAAACGAAAAGTGATGGCAAAACTGTATATTATCGTCATAAAACAAACTTAAAATTTCACGTTTACAAACCATCAACATTAGAATTAAAAAATATGGATAGCACTTATAATGGGGAATACACACTAAAGACTTATGCCGCAACAAGACACTATGCGAGGAATGTCAATGTGTATATCATTGGTAAGCTTTGATTTTGTTCATTAGGTTCATTGTTTTGTGGCTAGGTACTTCTTCATGCATAGACGTTATCTTCATTATACATGTTGCCGTTTTAATGATCTTTATATGTAAGTTATTGTGGCAAAAACTTATGATATATCAAATACCGAAAGCATTTTTAACTATAAAGCTATCCAGAAATTCTACTTCTAAAATAGTAACTTTCTAATGTTTTTCGGCGTTTTCACCGTTAAACTGTGCATTTTTGGTTATGCTTGCAATGTATATAATTGTTTTAGGTGATAAATTTCGTGAAAAAAAAGTTTTCGTAAACATTGGTTTAAGAACTTTTTTTTAAAATAAAATATGCGAATATCACCAGCTCATGACTTTAAGCACCAAAAACAAATGATAAAATTAAGTTGTCAAATTTGCTTAATTCTTCAATATGAAATTCATAACTATGAGTTTTAATTGATTAGTTTCCTGAGCTAGCTTGAAGTATCGTGTCATTGTGAGAACTGTCACAAAACTCAATTTTTTGTCCTTGCATGTGATGGCAACTTCCTGTTGTATTTATTGTCTAACCTATAGGTTTTATGGCCTATACTCTTGTTCTAGTTCCCACACCATGTTTTTCACCATCAATATTTTGAACTGATATGCTATTCAGCACATTTTCTACTAAAAACGGTTTGTAAAATCTTAAAACAATAAAAGTATGGAAAATGAATCTTTTCATGTGAGCTGTTGCTGTTGTTCTAGCTTTAATGCCGACAACATTTTCAACTATCAGGCAATCCAGAATCTCTACCAGTAGAAACGGTAACTTTTTCATGGTTTTTTGTATATTTTGTCAGCGTTGAGTGTTTTAAGTATTATAGTTTGTGAATTTAAAAGTTTTCTTGCATAATGTTTCATAGAATTTTTATCTTACTCGCTGAATTTATTATACGATTATTATTGGTTCTTTAGTTCAATTAAGTACCAACAGCAAATAATTCGAAATATGGTTTTGGACAATTGATACAAAACTTAATAGATTTTCTTTTCATTTTCAAAAAAAAAATTTTAAAAAAGTAATCTTTTCTTTTGAACTATTTTTTCCTAGTGCAAAAAAGTTATCAACTAATAAATTGTGCTCTGCCACAACAAGCGGTAAGTTTTTCTCTTTTTTTGAATAGCTTATCAGTAAGTTCATAAAAGATGTTTGGAGTATAGCATGGTTATAAAGATATTGCAGCATCAAAAATAATTCATTAAATTTTGACGTTTAAGTGATTATAGAGGCACTTGTACAACTAGCCTAATGGAAATGTCAGGACAGTGTACTTACGTTCTTTTGTGGATACTTTATCTGCTTGTGTTAAAAAGAATGGCAGACCTAGGGAATTAATAAATTGTGACATTTTTAAAGTTGCTTCCTTAACCTAGAACAGAAAAATGTATATTTTTTACATGTTAGAAATGTTTCATTTTTATTTTCAACTGTTTTATATAATTTGTTGGACTGGTATTTGAATTAATACTTCTTTAAATGCAGTGGAGCCACAAAAAACTGTTTTTTTAAACATAATTTGACACCTGTTTCTTCAAGGTGCCTCACTAAATACAAAAAGTTCAGAAAGATATGGTTATACAACAAGCTTCGGTATTATCATTGGCAGTATTGTGGTGTTTTTTGGCATTATCTTATTTGTCATCTTTTATTGTTATGTAAAGCAAAGTAAGTTCTAGCGTTCAACTTTTTATGTTCGCCAAATTTGAATGAGATTTAAGATTCTTTTGTGTTATTTTTATTAAGGAAAATGGACAACGGTAAGTGATTTATTCATTATAATTAGCAATTATTACTTGTCATTTCTTTCCATTTTCTATGCAATTTTTTTCGAAAGTGATTTCAAAAGAAATCAGTAGGGCACAACTGATTCTAGGACGTTCTAGTCACGCCTCTGTTGCTCATATACACTTAGCGTTATCAATAGTGCTTTTATGCAGCTATATTAAGTATATATCATCAGACGAAATCATCAGTTTAAAGTATACTAATATATGCTATGGTTCTCGATGTTCAAGTAGTAAAAATGTCATTCCTGGTCATAAGCTTGACGAAGAATTTTCGGTTAATGACGATAATCGAAAGCCGAAACCAAAAGGAATCATTGCCAGTGGTGTTTGATAAAGACAAAAAAGAGAAGAAAAAAAAATACTGTCTAAGCATTATTTTAGTGTTGTTTTTTGGTTGAATGACTGATATGTAGCTGGACATAATAAATAAATTGACGACGAACAAAACTAAAAGTTATTCACCTTTCTAGGTTCTTACATTTTTAAAAAAGCCTTACGTACTATTTCAACCCTCTCAGTTGATCTTGTACTAAATTTTCTAAAGAAGCTACTCTTTAATTCGTTGGCAAAACCTATATTCTGTCAGCTACATGCTTCATTTATAAACGTTTTGTTTTCATTATATTTAGCTTTGATCGACAAAGGTAAAAAAGTAGCTGCATAGTGTTAAACAATTTTGTAAATTTAATGCATTTATATAACAGACACCTCGCTTATTTAGTCCTGTTGTAGTTATTTGTGTTCACTTTCCGCGAAAGCAATAAATTTTAAAATAAATTGAATAATAATTAATATTCTTAAATTTACAAAACAGCCTTTACTTGTGTACTGCAATAAATTAATAAGAATGTTTTATAGACATTTAGCAGTCAACTTTAAAACAGAGAGACATGCATACGTAATTAAGCGAAAGTTTAAAAAATTTGTAACAGAATAGAGGAGAGAAAAATTCAGAACGAGTTTGTGATCTGGGTAAATCAAACTTTTTTTATTCTATTTTACATTTACATTTTTATTCTGTTCGAATAGTCACGTGATTTATTAGGTGAGGTTTTTGTTAATGCATTCAAAATTATGTGAAAGAGCGTCGAAGTCTCAGAAAAGGTTACTAAATCCATATCAGCAAATAATACGATTAACGTTTGCGGCAAAACAAAAATGTTTCTATGTCGAGTCAGAAGACTAAATAATGCCAGCCTCTGAAGAAGGCAAAACACCAACTTCAGAGGAAACACGTGCACCAAACTCAGAGGACGTTTTAGATAATTCAGCCACAGACGTCATTAATATGCAGCATACTTTTTTGGGGGGCCACCGGATTACTTCTTCTAATTGATTGCAAAATGTTTGCTTGCAGTTGTATTTTAACTTGGAGGCAAAATCATAAAGAATACATCGTTGAAAATAAGAATGGAGGCGGCAGTTGCCCGTATTTTAATTTTCTTTGTCAATATGAGGACGCCAACAAAAATTGATACATGAAAGTGGAAAGAGTTTATCATGCTTTAAGCCGTTAATTGCAACGTCCACAAAAAGGCCATATTTGACATCTTCAAATTCTTATTTAGTTGTGGCATAACAATATTCAAACATGCACCATGAAATGCACACTATTCGCCACACATTCGCAAACAAGAAATAAAAACACGCTGTTGATCGTTGAACTTTTAACGAAAGCTTAATAAACCTTCCTCTACATTTTTAAATAATAATTCAAATAGAATTTTGTCCTTTTGCATTGGCAAAATTTTTCTTTTAATTTATCACTTCCAGCGATCAACTGCAAATCAATACTGATAGAGTGTCGCGTATTTAAGAATACATCATAAATACATCATAGCGCCTTACTTTTAGTGTAATGTTTTCATAGGAGCTTTGCAGTATTATTGTAAGTGGCGAAAATTCACACGAGTCAGTCAGTCAGTCAGTCAGTCATAATGAAAACCTTCTGGGTGGTGTCTAGTAATAACACTCATTTTATGTTTAATGATTTTTTAGAAATTTATTATTAGTTTATCAGCGATTCTTAAAAAAGATTTTAACACCAACTTCAACTCACATTAGTTAAGACATTTATAACAATGTATCTACCCCGTTTTATCCCCAGCAGCTCTATTATTTGAAAAAATATCTAAATGCGCATGCGCTGTTTTTGTTCAAACTGTATCGTGAATTGTGTATTAAGAGTAAAGTAAGGGGAAATAAAATATTCCGAAATCCAAAAAAATTTGTTTTAACTATGACGCTTTTCATTAATGCTGGCACTGTTGACAAATGTTTTGAAGATTTTGCAAGCTCGAGTTTATATAGAATGTAAGAATATTGCTATTTAATTCGCCGTATTGCCGTATATTTGCCAAGTACTTGGCTAGTGCTGTTTGTTTAGCAACCTGCTATCAACTTCTTGTCTAACTACATTCATACACTACGTGTTGGTGAATTCGTCTTAAACATATGACAGTAAAATTTGAAGTTGCGCACACATCTGCCTCGGTAAGAAACATTTTACGAGAAATAAAGTGCACTATTACTGTCCTTGAAGAAAGCATTAGTTGTGGTGTGCTTTAGAACAAAATGACAAAGTCATGTAAGACATTATTAATTTGTCGACTTTCATGTAATCGTTACGAAAGTGCAAATACGAAATGAATGTTCATTCACGCAAACTTGCTAAAAACTGGACTTATTCATCAAATGATGCAAATTGTACTACGTAAATATTTATTGAATACCGTTGCATTTTACTGCTCGTTGCCCTATTATTTAGGTGGAATTTTGCGCTAGAAAATATCGCAAACAAATCAATTTATTCTTCCGAACACATGAGCTTCGCATATGTGTCAGAAGAATAAAAAAATACAACATAACCGAAACAAAGAAAGTAAATCATGAGTGATTTCGTAATTTTTAAGTTGTATACTGCATAGTAAAAAAAAATAAATGTGATGCATGTATGACAAATGTATGATTGTGGCGTGCCAAATGTCCTTATTATTTATACGCTATTTAAGTGCAAATACGAAATTAAGGTTTATTTACGTTTAAGGCTATTCGTCAAGAAACAAACTGTTTAGCCTTTAATAAGCACTTCTCGAAGTGAATTTCAGTTTAGCATTTTTTGAAACGCCAACAGGGGCGGATTTAGGGGGGGAGGCAAAACGGCCGCAAATCCCCCTTTTGCTGGAAAAAAACAAAAATTGAATGATAATAAAAAATGACAGGAAAGTTTTAGTTTTAAACAAGTTCAAAGAGTTCGGCTCCCTTTTTCACAATCTCCTGGACCACTCCTGGCCAAGGTTCTAAACTAAGCATTCTTGAAACTAATTTTATTTGCAATGTTTAGAAACATTTTTTCTGAGAAACTTTGTATAGTTACAACAAAATTTGCGGACTTTATACTAAAAAAATTTTGGTAGGTATCACACACATTGATTCAAGTTGAAATTGAAATATTTTAGATGCAAAGATGATATTGATATCCCTACCAAAAAAAGAAACTAAAAGTCCAGCAATATTAACTTGAATCGTTTCATATGCTGGACATCGAAGACCTGTGGTAGACATCAAAACAGTCCCCCATAAAAACATTGAAACAACAAAAACTTTCAAAAAAATACATGGAAAGAATGATCTATTGTTAAACATCACAACCAAATGCACTACAAAAACAAAACGATTGTATTTCTACAAGTGTTTTTGGGTCCATTCAAAGCACTTTTCGATCATGCGACGATACTTCCTTCAGGTAATTTAGCCTTATCAGGATTTAATTTGAATGATTTTGCTGCGCTTGATAAGTCGTTTAGGCAATTTACTAAACAATATTGTGTGTCGAGATCGCATACAATTTGGATGGCATACAGTTCAATAACGAATCGGTGGACGCATAACTGCTTTGTGTTAACGCGCAAAGGAGAAAAACTGCAACACAAAGTATAGTGCAATCAAGATAATTTTTACAAAAAACATAGAGCTTAACATGATCGATCTGACTTTTGTGGACTGTAACATACCAACAATTTGTGAGCATTGCAGTTGCTGTCGCAATTTATGCATATTGTATATACTTTCTATCTTATTTGGTATAATTTTGTCGTAAATAATGTCAGGATAATCACCTAAAGCCTCACCCATTTCATTGACTTATGGCAGGATTGGCTCTCCAAAATGCTACCCTCTAATTAACCTTTGTGCGAGACAAGATTTTCTTTCATTCTGAACTGCAGTGATTGATGTCTTCTTGGAAAAAGTAATTCGAGCGTTGTACCCAAATAGCAATATTTTGAATTGATACACCTTGATGCGAATGAACTAGAGCTCAGGTTGATCAGGAAAGTTTAAAGCTCTTATAAAAAGTTCAAGAACTTGTGATAAATGCTAAGATGCATGTAGTTGTTGTGCTATTTACCAATAATACAGAATGTAGGAACTCCAATAATGATATAGATATTGCCTTGAAGAATAACTATCAATGATGTCAGATTTAGTGAAAATCGTTAATGAGCAAAAGTCACGATTGCAAAATCAGGATCATGTCTTTGTTAATTTTTAGTATAGGTCAATTTTCATACTAGAGACGGATCATCTGTATGGAGGATGATCCAATCTAAAGAAGTATAAGTAGACAAGACGAACTATCTATTAATAAACTAAACAAATTCCAATTTTGCCTTTGGAAGATTTTGGAGCGAGTTATGAACTACGAAGTATCATTTTTTCCGTAGTTTGTCCTCATTTCACATTTGTATTTACAGAAGGATGATGCCTCAAGTCAAAATACCCGTGCAAATTCGTCTAAATAAACAAACTACTCAAATAATTCGTAAGCATCTTGACGGATGATCTGTAAGTTTGCGCGCATATACACACAGACGAACTTGAAGACGAACTATGTTTTGCTTGCTTAAGTTTGTCCAGATAGATGATCAGTCTTTAGCATAAATCTGGCCAAGCAGTAACTTCTTTACACCACTTTCAGAAAGACACTAATCTAATCCAATTATAAACTCTTCAAGAGTAAACTCCTTCAGCCCTTCTGCTTCCTACGAAACTATCACGTGATGAAATACGTTTGAAATAATCGTTGGATCAACTCGAAATATAACCTGGACTTTTACAGTTTCGTCACCCATTGTATATCGGGTGTGGCTGTTCTCGCCCTATGGCTCCTCAACTAGCAGAAAACTTGCAGAAACGAATGATGATAACAGAGTTGCATATTATCATCATGAAACAAACTTAAAATTTCACGTTTACATACAATCAACAATAGAACTAAAAAATATGGATACACATTACAAGGGGAAATATACATTAAACATTTATACCAAAACGAAAGGCTATTCGAGGAATGTCAATGTGTATATCATTGGTAAGCTTTGATTTTACTCATTAGGTGCATTGTTTGTAATTGTATAGTAGGATGGCTGTTTATGTCCATCTTTTCTTTGTCTGTTTCTCAGCTCCCAATTACAACAAAATCTCGATGACTATACCGACTATAAATAAAAATCATTCTAAAGTTATGGTTACAACAAATCAAATTAATCCATCTGTTCACTTAAACGATGGTATGTTGATATATTATATTAAAATAAATTATGTCTGCTTTAATTGTTCTTTTTTATGGTAATTTTATCCAAACTACTAGTTTGCAAAATCGAGGGTAAGTTGTCAATTGAAGTTGTGAGGTTACCTTTTTTGAAATAAACAACCGTCGAACGATCTATCGACGAACTGTCATGAACTGAACATCCAATGAAATTTGTCTGAATTAAATTCCAAGTATAAGGTCTTAAGTTAACTTATGAGATTGATTTAATGACTCATTTACCTGAAAGTTTAGTGCTAAACTGCTAATGAAGCTATTTTTATACACATTATTTTAGAGTTTGAACAAAAAGCAATCTTAATATTAGTCATCAGCTTTTTGGCCATTCTTGCCATTACTGGAGTTGTTGTGACATGGGTTTCATTTCGATAAGTATAAACAGTTAAAGTAAGCTATTGAATGTTTCTATTAAAACTGGGAAATTTGGTTAGGAAATTTGAAAGAAGAAGCACGAGAAATAACCTATTAAAGGCCGTTTTTATAATAAATATGTATATGTCTAAACCTCTCTAGACTGACAGGTCAAAGGTCATTAAACGTATGTCTTTTTGGTCAAGGGTTTCAGGTCAAAAGTCATATTATCTGTGGCATAGCCGGGTAGCCAGCTGGCAAATTTGGCCGCCTAATGCTTATGTGTTTACCACATGATGATTACTTGCTGTTAAAACAATAGATTTCTACGGAAATAAATGACGACATTGTTCTGAAGTTTACAGTGATGAATTTTACTATATTATATCATGAGAACATACAAAATGTGACAATATTACGGGTCAGTTATTATAGTTACATACCATGCATGTATGTAATTAATTTACGCACCGAGACAAGCATGCAATTTCACTTTCTTATTGGACAACAGCGAAAAAATGAAGAAATGTGCTATTTTATAAGCTTGCTATTTTTGCAGACTAATGTTAAAGTTTGTATTTTGAAATTTTCCCGTCATTATTATGTATATAATTCAACATATCTTCTACAATTCTTTGAATTATTCCATTTTGCAGTGTCGAATTGTAGTGTATTCTTGCTTACTACTTGCAGTGAAAATTATTGTTTAAAGTAATTATAAGTCTGTAAGTTAAAAGTTTTCTAGAACATTTTCTAAGAATTACTACCAAATCAGAATATCGACAACAATGGCTTGCTTCCGTTGTCCGTGGTTTTCTGATATTTAAAATGTAGCTACATTACATGATAATGTTATAAAGTTGATTATTAAAAATAAATTATTTCAATCTAAAGAGAGCAGAAGCTAATTCAAATTTTTAGTAAGTTCAAGTTAACAAAAATATGATGTTCATTTGAATTGTAGTGTGTATTCTTTTTTGCTTACTACTTGCAGTGAAAATTATTGTTTAGAGTAATTATAAGTCCGTAAGTTAAAAAGTTTTCTAGAACATTTTCTAAAGAATTTTTACCAAATCAGAATATCGGCAACAATGGCTTGCTTCCGTAGTCCGGGTGGTTTTTCTGATATTTAAAATGTAGCTACACTACATGATGTGTTTGATGATGATTACATTGTGATTTATTAGCCTATTTTTGCCAAAAGCCTTAACGAGATAAATGAAACAGCTGTCGTTGTGTATGAAGAAAAAAACAAAGAGGAGTTGGAGTCATGTGCTGTTTCAGAAAATCCGTTTACTATTGAAGACAACACGTCTGGTACACATGAAATAGCAGAATTTGAGGCAATGCTAGATGATAATATAAACGAAGAAGTGGAACTTTGTGTGGCTGTTGAAGAGCCATTATTTGTTGACGACGACACTTCTGTTAACAGTCACGCAGCGAGATTTGAAGCAGTAGAAAATAGTTGTTTGCTTAGGTTATCCATCTGTTAAAAGCAGATTTTTGTATTTAATTTACTGGATGTGTCTTTTTTACAATGTCTTTGTACGTTTAGACTGCACAAATTGAAAAGTCATCAAACTGTGATTCAGATAACCAAGAAGATATTACATGGATCACTTGTGCAGGACACTTATTACCGAGTATACCGATAACATTAAAGATTGCATCGAAAAAACAAAACCTCTTGGAGAGAGCTTACAGCTGCCGCTAGAAAGGCCGATGGTTGAAACAGTTAATGAAATGTGTAGTCTTTTTCCACCGGCGGTAAAAGATGTTGATGCCGAAATACTGCTGTTGGAGTTGGAAATTTTCAACAATATTGTGTCATCACAACTTAAATCAGAACCTAAATCCCTTCAAGACGTTGCGTTATTTGCTTTCAAACACAAAAACGTCTTTCCAACGGTGTGCAAGGCGTATCAACTATTGCTGACCACTCCAGTGTCCGTGGCAAAAGGTGTTTCAGCAAGTTAAAGATTGTCAAAAACTGCCTGAGATCCACAATGAAAGATACGCGATTAAATGACTTAATCGTTCTTGCATGTGAAAAAGATCTTACGGACAATGTTGACTTAAATATTATTTTAAAAAATTGGGCAACTGCAAAGATGCGAAAACTGCCATCAAAGATATAATAGTGTGCGTTCTGCCATAAAATGTAAGTACTGTTCCATATGATCTGCAGGGCAGATATTTTGTACTACATTTTCGCAAGTTTTTCTTGTATAAGCAATCGCAAAATGAAGATGAAATAGAGTTTGGTCGATGTCAAGTCTGGATTCGAAAATTTCTCCACGACATTGTGGAAAAAGAAAGGACAGCAGGCTCAGATGACATGGGAATGGCTGGAAGAATGAAGAAAAGTATCGTCGAGACCGTAGGAAAACAACTAACTACAATACATCTCAAAATCTTCAACAATTCTGGTATAACATAAATTGATAATAAATTAAATTTATTATCAATAAGATAATAATATATATTTTAATATATATTATTATTTTAATCGACATTATTTTCCTGTAAATCCTTATGTGAGCGATGGATTTGTTGTGAAGAGAGGAAGTGGTTTAAGAATGTGCGGCTGATTTATCTTCAAGTTCCGATGAAACGTTTTATCTGAAGGTGAGAACAATTGGAGATTATGTGAAATGATTATCACCACGAAGGTCTTTTACTTTTTTAAAAAGGTACATGGTCAGAGGCGTTATGAGTTATTAAGGAAAATCAAACGAGGTTTCCATTTACTAGATGTAAAGGCACCGATCAAATACGAAACAAGTAATTTTAATAGAGATTTTTCACCTTCAAACATTATTGTCATTATATTTAATGTTATCTGCATTCACTAATCGTTTTAAGATGCGCGATGAAAGAAGTCTCCAGAATTCACTCATATACAGCCAAAAATAATCATTCTGAAACTCAGGTATATTTTCACGATGACTTTCAACGTCATTTCAATTCATGACATTTCAATTCTCGGTACATATTTTTGTCTTTTTTTGATTTGATATATTTCGTTTGATAACAGCAACTTCAGCACATTCGTAATTTTGACTTCACTAACTTCTTTTGCTTTATTGTTATGTGAAGCTTGAATCTAGTTTCCAGTCCCAAATGTCCTTATGCTGAGAGTGGGGACAAGAACAGAACCTTGCTTCACACCCTTCTTCACAGGAAATGGGTCTGATGTCTCCCACTTTCCTGGACTCTGTCTGCATGCCATCGTGAAAGGAGGCTACCACTTTGTACATCAACTCTGTGACTTGGACGCATTTCTTTAGTCATTCTGCTAAATTTGCGAATGTAAGCCCACAATCTCTCCAACATCTCACCGTCAGTTAGGCCAAATCCTTCTTTACGACGGGGACTAAATTTAACCTTTTACAAGAAAGATTTAACAAACAATCATTGATTTTTTATCATTTTATCATCTACAATACCATTAGTTATGATAGCATAAAAACCCAGGTATCACCATAGAAGAGAGAATATATAGAAGGGCAACACGCAGGTGAAACGCGTGGCATATTTTCTGTACGCATGTTAGGTCTGCCATTTCTCTGGCCATTAACTTGACGCTGGCGTACTATGTAACAATATTTGAAAAGTACGATTTTGGGATAATAATCGCCTTATTATTTTTGGGATAATAATTTGTTGTAAGTTCCTTACTTTGTTAATAACTTGTTGTAAGTTCCTTACTTTGTTAATAACTTGTTCTAAGTTCCCTACTTTGTTAATAAATTGTTCTAAGTTTCCAATTCTGTTACGAACAAGCTCTAAGCTTAGACGTTCTTAAAGTCACCCTCAGGGAAATTATAAACGTTTATAAAGTGCCTACGTCACCCTCAGGGAAATTGTCTATTTAGCTAAATTTAAGTATTTTAAGAACATTTGCAATATATTTTATAAGTCGAAAATTTATCTTCCTTGACTTTGGGGGGTCTTTTGTTGGGTTTTTTCGTGTTTGACCGTGAGGTGCTGCGACTGGGTCTAGTTCACCGGACATGACGTACATTGGAAACGCTGCTTTTGAACGCTGTAGTTTATAGCGAAGTCAAGAAATTTATTTCTTATTAAACTTGAGTTGTATTGTGCACTTTGTTATTGAAATCACACTGCAATTCTTCACGTGTTTTTTTCGTGATACAAAATTTTTCAGCAAGGCTTTTTCATTTTGCGAGCGGATGCAGATGTATGAAGTTTTGATATAGCGAATAAGTTGAATTATTTTTCTCCTATAGGCAATTTTCAATTTGCATGTTATGTCATAGCAAAATGCTCTGCATTAAGTCTGTTTTGCAATTATTGGTGAAGAGATACGTACTAATAGACAAGACGGTAAGCGTAAATAATTGCAGGATCTAGCTACAACAATAACTGTAAAACGGGAAGATTTTACTTCGTACGGTAACTGCTCGATGGAAAATCCAGGCTGAAGACAGTTTGTTGTAACCATATTTTATATTTGTTTAAAGCTCTAAATGATCAAGGTCTTGATACTGCGTACAGTGCGTGTTTACGAGCAATAGAAAACATCGGATACGAATATTTAGATTTATATCTGATTCATTGGCTGTAGTAGCGCAACCAAACGCGAGGATCAATGTTGTAATCAATTAGAAGAATGGTGAAGTGAATATAAATTTATTTGACCAAATTATCCAGCAAGATCCTGTGCATACGCATGGCCAAGAAAGAATAATGCATGCATTGTACCATTGTAAATGTTTTCTGCATCATAATTGCGCCTGTCAAATAAATGAGAAAGAATTTACATACTTCACAAGGATTACACCAAAATGATTGAAAATAAGTAGAGTAAAATAATGGTCGTTGAAATTGATAAGAGAATTATAGCTTTATTTCATTGTGTATTATAGACACTGCTTCTGCCTACAAGAATGAAGAAGACATCGGAAAGCTTGAAAACATTGTTACCAAAATATGGTCTTAAAGATCTGACATATTCATAACTAGCAAGCTTGGTGGTGTCGAAAATATTGTCAATGATTGAAATATTTCTCTCCATTGGGAAATGTACCCTGACGCGCTGGTCGCTTGTAGCATTGTGATGTACATATTGCTGTCGGTGTGGCGATCTGAGAGACTAAGAATATTAAAACATTCAGAAATCAACCGAAAAAATAGGTGTATAATGTTTGTAAGTATTAGGACTATATAATGCGTTATTACTGTGGAGTGTACGGAATACAATCTCAGTATAATGGCAAACTCAGGCCGCCAAACCCGATCCAGTTTGAGATATTCACCTTCACATTTTGTTGGTCTGTTCTAGGACAATTTCAGATGTCGTTTTTTCGTGATACAAAATGCAAGGTTTTTCATTTTGCGAGCGGATGCATAAGTTTTGATATAACGAATCAGTTGAATTATTTTTTCCTATAGGCAATTTTCAATTTGCATGTTATGTCATAGCAAAACCGCTCTGCATTAAGTTCTGTTTTTGATAATTGGTGAAGAGAGACACGTATTCCTTAATAGACAAGACGGTAAGCGTAAGATGTGGCAATTGCTACAACAATAACTGTAAACGGAAGACGGTTTTGGTTTCTCTGCTCGATGGAAATTCTGAAGACAGTTTGTTGTAACCATATTTTATATTTGTTTAAAGCTCTAAATGATCAAGTCTTGATACTGCGTACAGTGTGTTTACGAGCAACAGAAACATCGGATACGAATATTTAGATTTATATCTGATTCATTGGCCTGTAGCAGCGCAACTTAAACGCGAGGATCAATGTTGTAATCAATTAGAAGAATGGTGAAGTGAATATAAAATTTATTTGACCAAATTATCCAGCAAGATCTTGTGCATACGTTCATGGCCAAGAAAGAATAATGCATGCATTGTACATATTGTAAAAGTTTTCGCATCATAATTGCGCCTGTCAAATAAACTGAGAAAGAATTTACATACTCACAAGGATTACACCAAAATGATTGAAAATAAGTAGAGTAAAATAATGGTCGCTGAAATTGATAACAGAATTATAGTTTGTATTTCATTGTGCATTATACACACTGCTTCTGTCTACAAAGAAACGCCAATGAATCAGATATAAATCTACATATTCGTGTCCGATGTTTTATACTGCTCGTAAACACGCACTGTACGCAGTATCAAGACCTTGATCATTTAGAGTTTTAAACAAATATAAAAATATGGTTACAACAAACTGTCTTCAGATTGGAATTTCCATCGAGCAGTTACCGTAGAGAAGTAAAACCGTCTTCCGTTTTACAGTTGTTGTAGCTAGATCCTTGCACTATTTACGCTTACTGTCTTGTATATAGGAATACGTCGTCTTCACCAATTACTGCAAAACAGACTTAATACAACTTAATAGGAGAAAAATAATTCAACTGATTCGCTATATCAAAACTTCATACATCTGCATCCGCTCGCAAAATGAAAAAGCCTTGCTGAAAAATTTTCTATCACGAAAAAAACACGACATCACAAATTGTCCTAGACAGACCAACAAAATGTGAAGGTGAAAAAATATCTCAAACTGGTACGGGTGTGGCGGTCTGAGTTAGCCATTATACTGAGATTGTATTCCGTACACTCCACAGTAATAACGCATTATATAGTCCTAATACTAACAAGCATTATACACCTATTTTTTCGGTCCATTTCTGAATGTTTTAATATTCTCAGTCTCTCAGATCGCCACACCGACAGCAATATGTACATCACAAGTGCTACAAGCGACCAACGCGTCAGGGTACATTTCTTTCCCAATGGAGAGAGAAATATTTCGATCATTGACAATATTTTCGACACTCACCAAGCTTGCTAGTTATGAATATGTCAGATCTTTTAAGACCATATTTTGGTAACAATGTTTTCAAGCTTTTTCCGATGTCTTCTTCATTCTTGTAGGCAGAAGCAGTGTCTATAATACACAATGAAATAAAACTATAATTCTCTTATCAATTTCAACGACCATTATTTTACTCTACTTATTTTCAATCATTTTTGGTGTAATCCTTGTGAAGTATGTAAATTCTTTCTCAGTTTATTTGACAGGCGCATTTATGATGCAGAAAACATTTACAATAGGTACAATGCATGCATTATTCTTTCTTGGCCATGTACGTATGCACAGGATCTTGCTGGATAATTTGGTCAAATAAATTTTATATTCACTTCACCATTCTTCTAATTGATTACAACATTGATCCTCGCGTTTAAGTTGCGCTGCTACAGGCCAATGAATCAGATATAAATCTAAATATTCGTATCCGATGTTTTCTATTGCTCGTAAAAAACGCACTGTACGCAATATCAAGACCTTGATCATTTAGAGCTTTAAACAAATATAAAAATATGGTTACAACAAACTGTCTTCAGATTGGAATTTCCATCGAGCAGTTACCGTACAGAAGTAAAAAACCGTCTTCCCGTTTTACAGTTATTGTTGTAGCTAGATCCTTGCAATTATTTAGGCTTACCGTCTTGTCTATTAAGGAATACGTGTCCTCTCTTCACCAATTACTGCAAAAAACAGACTTAATGCAGAGCGGTTTTGCTATGACATAACATGCAAATTGAAAATTGCCTATAGGAGAAAAATAATTCAACTGATTCGCTATATCAAAACTTTATACATCTGCATCCGCTTGCAAAATGAAAAAGCCTTCCTGAAAAATTTTGTATTACGAAAAAAACACGACATCACAAATTGTCCTAGACAGACCAACAAAATGTGAAGGTGAAAAAATATCTCAAACTGGTCCGGGTGTGGTGGTCTGAGTTAGCCATAATACTGAGATTGTATTCCGTACACTCCACAGTAATAACGCATTATATAGTCCTTATACTTACAAACATTATACACCTATTTTTTCGCTTGATTTCTGAATGTTTTATTATTCTCAGTCTCTCAGATCGCCACACCGACAGCAATATGTACATCACAAGTGCTACAAGCGACCAGCGCGTCAGGGTACATTTCTTTCCCAATGGAGAGACAAATATTTCGATCATTGACAATATTTTCGACACTCACCAAGCTTGCTAGTTATGAATACGTCAGATCTTTTAAGACCATATTTTGGTAACAATGTTTTCAAGCTTTTTCCGATGTCTTCTTCATTCTTGTAGGCAGAAGCAGTGTCTATAATACACAATGAAATAAAAACTATAATTCTCTTATCAATTTCAACGACCATTATTTTACTCTACTTATTTTCAATCATTTTTGGTGTAATCCTTGTGAAGTATGTAAATTCTTTCTCAGTTTATTTGACAGGCGCATTTATGATGCAGAAAACATTTACAATAGGTACAATGCATGCATTATTCTTTCTTGGCCATGTACGTATGCACAGGATCTTGCTGGATAATTTGGTCAAATAAATTTTATATTCACTTCACCATTCTTCTAATTGATTACAACATTGATCCTCGCGTTTAAGTTGCGCTGCTCCAGGCCAATGAATCAGATATAAATCTAAATATGTGTATCCGATGTTTTCTATTGCTCGTAAACACGCACTGTACGCAGTATCAAGACCTTGATCGTTTAGAGCTTTAAACAAATATAAAAATATGGTTACAACAAACTGTTTTCAGATTGGAATTTCCATCGAGCAGTTACCGTACAGAAGTAAAAAACCGTCTTCCCGTTTTACAATTATTGTTGTAGCTAGATCCTTGCAATTATTTACGCTTACCGTCTTGTCTATTAAGGAATACGTGTCCTCTCTTCACCAATTACTGCAAAAAACAGACTTAATGCAGAGCGGTTTTGCTATGACATAACATGCAAATTGAAAATTGCCTATAGAAGAAAAATAATTCAACTGATTCGCTATATCAAAACTTCATACATCTGCATCCGCTCGCAAAATGAAAAACCCTTGCTGAAAAAATTTGTATCACGAAAAAAACACGACATCACAAATTGTCCTAGACAGACCAACAAAATGTGAAGGTGAAAAAATATCTCAAACTGGTCCGGCTGTGGCGGTCTGAGTTAGCCATTATACTGAGATTGTATTTCGTACACTCCACAGTAATAACGCATTATATAGTCCTATAACTTACAAACATTATACACCTATTTTTTCGGTTGATTTCTGAATGTTTTAATATTCTCAGTCTCTCAGATCGCCACACCGACAGCAATATGTACATCACAAGTGCTACAAGCGACCAGCGCGTCAGGGTACATTTCCTTTCCAATGGAGAGAGAAATATTTCGATCATTGACAATATTTTCGACACTCACCAAGCTTGCTAGTTATGAATATGTCAGATCTTTTAAGACCATATTTTGGTAACAATGTTTTCAAGCTTTTTCCGATGTCTTCTTCATTCTTGTAGGCAGAAGCAGTGTCTATAATACACAACGAAATAAAAACTATAATTGTCTTATCAATTTCAACGACCATTATTTTACTCTAGTTATTTTCAATCATTTTTGGTGTAATCCTTGTGAAATATGTAAATTCTTTCTCAGTTCATTTGACAGGCGCAATTATGATGCAGAAAACATTTACAATAGGTACAATGCATGCATTATTCTTTCTTGGCCATGTACGTATGCACAGGATCTTGCTGGATAATTTGGTCAAATAAATTTTATATTCACTTCACCATTCTTCTAATTAATAACAACATTGATCCTAGCGTTTAAGTTGCGCTGCTCCAGGCCAATGAATCAAATATAAATCTAAATATTCGTATCCGATGTTTTCTATTGCTCGTAAACACGCACTGTTCGCAGTATCAAAACCTTGTTCATTTAGAGCTTTAAACAAATATAAAAATATGGTTACAACAAACTGTCTTCAGATTGGAATTTCCATCGAGCAGTTACCGTACAGAAGTAAAAAACCGTCTTCCCGTTTTACAGTTATTGTTGTAGCTAGATCCTTGCAATTATTTAGGCTTACCGTCTTGTCTATTAAGGAATACGTGTCCTCTCTTCACCAATTACTGCAAAAAACAGACTTAATGCAGAGCGGTTTTGCTATGACATAACATGCAAATTGAAAATTGCCTATAGGAGAAAAATAATTCAACTGATTCGCTATATCAAAACTTTATACATCTGCATCCGCTTGCAAAATGAAAAAGCCTTCCTGAAAAATTTTGTATTACGAAAAACACGACATCACAAATTGTCCTAGACAGACCAACAAAATGTGAAGGTGAAAAATATCTCAAACTGGTCCGGGTGTGGTGGTCTGAGTTAGCCATTATACTGAGATTGTATTCCGTACACTCCACAGTAATAACGCATTATATAGTCCTTATACTTACAAACATTATACACCTATTTTTTCGCTTGATTTCTGAATGTTTTATTATTCTCAGTCTCTCAGATCGCCACACCGACAGCAATATGTACATCACAAGTGCTACAAGCGACCAGCGCGTCAGGGTACATTTCTTTCCCAATGGAGAGACAAATATTTCGATCATTGACAATATTTTCGACACTCACCAAGCTTGCTAGTTATGAATACGTCAGATCTTTTAAGACCATATTTTGGTAACAATGTTTTCAAGCTTTTTCCGATGTCTTCTTCATTCTTGTAGGCAGAAGCAGTGTCTATAATACACAATGAAATAAAAACTATAATTCTCTTATCAATTTCAACGACCATTATTTTACTCTACTTATTTTCAATCATTTTTGGTGTAATCCTTATGAAGTATGTAAATTCTTTCTCAGTTTATTTGACAGGCGCAATTATGATGCAGAAAACATTTACAATAGGTACAATGCATGCATTATTCTTTCTTGGCCATGTACGTATGCACAGGATCTTGCTGGATAATTTGGTCAAATAAATTTTATATTCACTTCACCATTCTTCTAATTAATAACAACATTGATCCTAGCGTTTAAGTTGCGCTGCTCCAGGCCAATGAATCAAATATAAATCTAAATATTCGTATCCGATGTTTTCTATTGCTCGTAAACACGCACTGTTCGCAGTATCAAAACCTTGATCATTTAGAGCTTTACACAAATATAAAAATATGGTTACAACAAACTGTCTTCAGATTGGAATTTCCATCGAGCAGTTACCGTACAGAAGTAAAAAACCGTCTTCCCGTTTTACAATTATTGTTGTAGCTAGATCCTTGCAATTATTTACGCTTACCGTCTTGTCTATTAAGGAATACGTGTCCTCTCTTCACCAATTACTGCAAAAAACAGACTTAATGCAGAGCGGTTTTGCTTTGATATAACATGCAAATTAAAAATTGCCTATAGGGGAAAAATAATTCAACTGATTCGCTATATCAAAACTTCATACATCTGCATCCGCTCGCAAAATGAAAAAGCCTTGCTGAAAAATTTTGTATCACGAAAAAAACACGACATCACAATATGTCCTAGACAGACCAACAAAATGTGAAGGTGAAAAAATATCTCAAACTGGTCCGGCTGTGGCGGTCTGAGTTAGCCGTTATACTGAGATTGTATTCCGTACACTCCACAGTAATAATGCATCATATAGTCCTAATACTTACAAACATTATACACCTACTTTTTCGGTCTATTTCTGAATGTTTTAATATTCTCAGTCTCTCAGATCGCCACACCGACAGCAATATGTACATCACAAGTGCTACAAGCGACCAGCGCGTCAGGGTACATTTCCTTTCCAATGGAGAGAGAAATATTTCGATCATTGACAATATTTTCGACACTCACCAAGCTTGCTAGTTATGAATACGTCAGATCTTTTAAGACCATATTTTGGTAACAATGTTTTCAAGCTTTTTCCGATGTCTTCTTCATTCTTGTAGGCAGAAGCAGTGTCTATAATACACAATGAAATAAAAACTATAATTCTCTTATCAATTTCAACGACCATTATTTTACTCTACTTATTTTCAATCATTTTTGGTGTAATCCTTATGAAGTATGTAAATTCTTTCTCAGTTTATTTGACAGGCGCAATTATGATGCAGAAAACATTTACAATAGGTACAATGCATGCATTATTCTTTCTTGGCCATGTACGTATGCACAGGATCTTGCTGGATAATTTGGTCAAATAAATTTTATATTCACTTCACCATTCTTCTAATTGATTACAACATTGATCCTAGCGTTTAAGTTGCGCTGCTCCAGGCCAATGAATCAAATATAAATCTAAATATTCGTATCCGATGTTTTCTATTGCTCGTAAACACGCACTGTTCGCAGTATCAAAACCTTGATCATTTAGAGCTTTACACAAATATAAAAATATGGTTACAACAAACTGTCTTCAGATTGGAATTTCCATCGAGCAGTTACCGTACAGAAGTAAAAAACCGTCTTCCCGTTTTACAGTTATTGTTGTAGCTAGATCCTTGCAATTATTTACGCTTACCGTCTTGTCTATTAAGGATTACGTGTCCTCTCTTCACCAATTACTGCAAAAAACAGACTTAATGCAGAGCGGTTTTGCTTTGATATAACATGCAAATTAAAAATTGCCTATAGGGGAAAAATAATTCAACTGATTCGCTATATCAAAACTTCATACATCTGCATCCGCTCGCAAAATGAAAAAGCCTTGCTGAAAAATTTTGTATCACGAAAAAAACACGACATCACAATATGTCCTAGACAGACCAACAAAATGTGAAGGTGAAAAAATATCTCAAACTGGTCCGGCTGTGGCGGTCTGAGTTAGCCGTTATACTGAGATTGTATTCCGTACACTCCACAGTAATAATGCATCATATAGTCCTAATACTTACAAACATTATACACCTACTTTTTCGGTCTATTTCTGAATGTTTTAATATTCTCAGTCTCTCAGATCGCCACACCGACAGCAATATGTACATCACAAGTGCTACAAGCGACCAGCGCGTCAGGGTACATTTCTTTCCCAATGGAGAGAGAAATATTTCGATCATTGACAATATTTTCGACACTCACCAAGCTTGCTAGTTATGAATAAGTCAGATCTTTTAAGATTATATTTTGGTAAGAATGTTTTCAAGCTTTTTCCGATGTCTTCTTCATTCTTGTAGGCAGAAGCAGTGTCTATAATACACAACGAAATAAAAACTATAATTGTCTTATCAATTTCAACGACCATTATTTTACTCTAGTTATTTTCAATCATTTTTGGTGTAATCCTTGTGAAATATGTAAATTCTTTCTCAGTTCATTTGACAGGCGCAATTATGATGCAGAAAACATTTACAATAGGTACAATGCATGCATTATTCTTTCTTGGCCATGTACGTATGCACAGGATCTTGCTGGATAATTTGGTCAAATAAATTTTATATTCACTTCACCATTCTTCTAATTGATTACAACATTGATCCTCGCGTTTAAGTTGCGCTGCTCCAGGCCAATGAATCAGATATAAATCTAAATATTCGTATCCGATGTTTGCTATTGCTCGTAAACACGCACTGTACGCAGTATCAAGACCTTGATCATTTAGAACTTTAAACAAATATAAAAATATGTTTACAACAAATTGTCTTCAGATTGGAATTTCCATCGAGCAGTTACCGTACAGAAGTAAAAAACCGTCTTCCCGTTTTACAGTTATTGTTGTAGCTAGATCCTTGCAATTATTTACGCTTACCGTCTTGTCTATTAAGGATTACGTGTCCTCTCTTCACCAATTACTGCAAAAAACAGACTTAATGCAGAGCGGTTTTGCTATGACATAACATGCAAATTGAAAATTGCCTATAGGAGAAAAATAATTCAACTGATTCGCTATATCAATACTTCATACATCTGCATCCGCTCGCAAAATGAAAAAGCCTTGCTGAAAAATTTTGTATCACGAAAAAAACACGACATTACAAATTGTCCTAGACAGACCAACAAAATGTGAAGGTGAAAAAAATATCTCAAACTGGTCCGGCTGTGGCGGTCTGAGTTAGCCGTTATACTGAGATTGTATTCCGTACACTCCACAGTAATAATGCATCATATAGTCCTAATACTTACAAACATTATACACCTACTTTTTTCGGTCTATTTCTGAATGTTTTATTATTCTCAGTCTCTCAGATCGCCACACCGACAGCAATATGTACATCACAAGTGCTACAAGCGACCAGCGCGTCAGGGTACATTTCTTTCCCAATGGAGAGAGAAATATTTCGATCATTGACAATATTTTCGACACTCACCAAGCTTGCTAGTTATGAATAAGTCAGATCTTTTAAGATTATATTTTGGTAAGAATGTTTTCAAGCTTTTTCCGATGTCTTCTTCATTCTTGTAGGCAGAAGCAGTGTCTATAATACACAATGAAATAAAAACTATAATTCTCTTATCAATTTCAACGACCATTATTTTACTCTACTTATTTTCAATCATTTTTGGTGTAATCCTTGTGAAGTATGTGAGTTCTTTCTCAGTTTATTTGACAGGCGCAATTATGATGCAGAAAACATTTACAATAGGTACAATGCATGCATTATTCTTTCTTGGCCATGTACGTATGCACAGGATCTTGCTGGATAATTTGGTCAAATAAATTTTATATTCACTTCACCATTCTTCTAATTGATTACAACATTGATCCTAGCGTTTAAGTTGCGCTGCTCCAGGCCAATGAATCAAATATAAATCTAAATATTCGTATCCGATGTTTTCTATTGCTCGTAAACACGCACTGTTCGCAGTATCAAAACCTTGATCATTTAGAGCTTTACACAAATATAAAAATATGGTTACAACAAACTGTCTTCAGATTGGAATTTCCATCGAGCAGTTACCGTACAGAAGTAAAAAACCGTCTTCCCGTTTTACAGTTATTGTTGTAGCTAGATCCTTGCAATTATTTACGCTTACCGTCTTGTCTATTAAGGATTACGTGTCCTCTCTTCACCAATTACTGCAAAAAACAGACTTAATGCAGAGCGGTTTTGCTTTGATATAACATGCAAATTAAAAATTGCCTATAGGGGAAAAATAATTCAACTGATTCGCTATATCAAAACTTCATACATCTGCATCCGCTCGCAAAATGAAAAAGCCTTGCTGAAAAATTTTGTATCACGAAAAAAACACGACATTACAAATTGTCCTAGACAGACCAACAAAATGTGAAGGTGAAAAAATATCTCAAACTGGTCCGGGTGGGGCGGTCTGAGTTAGCCATTATACTGAGATTGTAATCCGTACACTCCACAGTAATAACGTATTATTTAGTCCTAATACTTACAAACATTATACACCTATTTTTTCGCTTGATTTCTGAATGTTTTATTATTCTCAGTCTCTCAGATCGCCACACCGACAGCAATATGTACATCACAAGTGCTACAAGCGACCAGCGCGTCAGGGTACATTTCTTTCCCAATGGAGAGAGAGAAATATTTCGATCATTGACAATATTTTCGACACTCACCAAGCTTGCTAGTTATGAATATGTCAGATCTTTTAAGACCATATTTTGGTAAGAATGTTTTCAAGCTTTTTCCGATGTCTTCTTCATTCTTGTAGGCAGAAGCAGTGTCTATAATACACAATGAAATAAAAACTATAATTCTCTTATCAATTTCATCGACCATTATTTTACTCTACTTATTTTCAATCATTTTTTGTGTAATCCTTGTGAAGTATGTAAATTCTTTCTCAGTTTATTTGATAGGCGCAATTATGATGCAGAAAACATTTACAATAGGTACAATGCATGCATTATTCTTACTTGGCCATGTACGTATGCACAGGATCTTGCTGGATAATTTGGTCAAATAAATTTTATATTCACTTCACCATTCTTCTAATTGATTACAACATTGATCCTCGCGTTTAAGTTGCGCTGCTCCAGGCCAATGAATCAGATATAAATCTAAATATTCGTATCCGATGTTTTCTATTGCTCGTAAACACGCACTGTACGCAGTATCAAGACCTTGATCATTTAGAACTTTAAACAAATATAAAAATATGTTTACAACAAATTGTCTTCAGATTGGAATTTCCATCGAGCAGTTACCGTACAGAAGTAAAAAACCGTCTTCCCGTTTTACAGTTATTGTTGTAGCTAGACCCTTGCAATTATTTACGCTTACCGTCTTGTCTATTAAGGAATACGTGCCCTCTCTTCACCAATTACTGCAAAAAACAGACTTAATGCAGAGCGGTTTTGCTATGACATAACATGCAAATTGAAAATTGCCTATAGGAGAAAAATAATTCAACTGATTCGCTATATCAATACTTCATACATCTGCATCCGCTCGCAAAATGAAAAAGCCTTGCTGAAAAATTTTGTATCACGAAAAAAACACGACATTACAAATTGTCCTAGACAGACCAACAAAATGTGAAGGTGAAAAAATATCTCAAACTGGTCCGGGTGGGGCGGTCTGAGTTAGCCATTATACTGAGATTGTAATCCGTACACTCCACAGTAATAACGTATTATTTAGTCCTAATACTTACAAACATTATACACCTATTTTTTCGCTTGATTTCTGAATGTTTTATTATTCTCAGTCTCTCAGATCGCCACACCGACAGCAATATGTACATCACAAGTGCTACAAGCGACCAGCGCGTCAGGGTACATTTCTTTCCCAATGGAGAGAGAAATATTTCGATCATTGACAATATTTTCGACACTCACCAAGCTTGCTAGTTATGAATATGTCAGATCTTTTAAGACCATATTTTGGTAAGAATGTTTTCAAGCTTTTTCCGATGTCTTCTTCATTCTTGTAGGCAGAAGCAGTGTCTATAATACACAATGAAATAAAAACTATAATTCTCTTATCAATTTCATCGACCATTATTTTACTCTACTTATTTTCAATCATTTTTTGTGTAATCCTTGTGAAGTATGTAAATTCTTTCTCAGTTTATTTGATAGGCGCAATTATGATGCAGAAAACATTTACAATAGGTACAATGCATGCATTATTCTTACTTGGCCATGTACGTATGCACAGGATCTTGCTGGATAATTTGGTCAAATAAATTTTATATTCACTTCACCATTCTTCTAATTGATTACAACATTGATCCTCGCGTTTAAGTTGCGCTGCTCCAGGCCAATGAATCAGATATAAATCTAAATATTCGTATCCGATGTTTGCTATTGCTCGTAAACACGCACTGTACGCAGTATCAAGACCTTGATCATTTAGAGCTTTAAACAAATATAAAAATATGGTTACAACAAACTGTCTTCAGATTGGAATTTCCATCGAGCAGTTACCGTACAGAAGTAAAAAACCGTCTTCCCGTTTTACAGTTATTGTTGTAGCTAGATCCTTGCAATTATTTTCGCTTACCGTCTTGTCTATTAAGGAATACGTGTCCTCTCTTCACCAATTACTGCAAAAAACAGACTTAATGCAGAGCGGTTTTGCTATGACATAACATGCAAATTGAAAATTGCCTATAGGAGAAAACTAATTCAACTGATTCGCTATATCAAAACTTCATACATCTGCATCCGCTCGCAAAATGAAAAAGCCTTGCTGAAAAATTTTGTATCACGAAAAAAACACGACATCACAAATTGTCCTAGACAGACCAACAATATGTGAAGGTGAAAAAATATCTCAAACTGGTCCGGCTGTGGCGGTCTGAGTTAGCCATTATACTGAGATTGTATTCCGTACACTCCACAGTAATAATGCATTATATAGTCCTAATACTTACAAACATTATACACCTACTTTTTCGGTTGATTTCTGAATGTTTTAATATTCTCAGTCTCTCAGATCGCCACACCGACAGCAATATGTACATCACAAGTGCTACAAGCGACCAGCGCGTCAGGGTACATTTCTTTCCCAATGGAGAGAGAAATATTTCGATCATTGACAATATTTTCGACACTCACCAAGCTTGCTAGTTATGAATATGTCAGATCTTTTAAGACCATATTTTGGTAAGAATGTTTTCAAGCTTTTTCCGATGTCTTCTTCATTCTTGTAGGCAGAAGCAGTGTCTATAATACACAATGAAATAAAAACTATAATTTTCTTATCAATTTCAACGACCATTATTTTACTCTACTTATTTTCAATCATTTTTGGTGTAATCCTTGTGAAGTATGTAAATTCTTTCTCAGTTTATTTGACAGGCGCAATTATGATGCAGAAAACATTTACAATAGGTACAATGCATGCATTATTCTTTCTTGGCCATGTACGTATGCACAGGATCTTGTGTAGAGCTTCCTTGATTTTGAGTGAGAAAGTGGATTGATCAGTGTCGATGATTTTAAAACAGGAAGGTGAGAATTTGTTTTTACATGAAGGAGAGGCTTGAAGATGTTTGTAGATAGTGGAGTTTTTGTCTGTGTGAGTATGTTCCTTTATCCTGGTAGATAATTGGCGAGAAGTTTCACCAACATAGCGGGAATTACATCCCGCACATGAAAATTGATAAACTACCATAGATTTGGAAAGTTCGGGAAGTGGGTCTTTAAACGAAAATAAAGATTTTATTTTAAAAGGTGTGAAAATAAGTTTAACGTCAATGTCAGTGCAGTAGCGTTTAATGATTTGTTTGAGTTTGCGTTGTGTGTGTCGTGAGTAATCACCTATGTAAGGTAGTTTGAAATAACGTTTATTGTCAGGTTGTTGTATATCGTTAGTGTTAGTTGTGGCGTTAGATGAGTCAGTGCTTATCTTGTTGTCCAAATAGTGTTGTATAGTGTTGTTGATGAAATGAAAAGGAAAAGAATTACGTTGGAGAGTGAATATTAGTTTCTTTAAATCACGTTGAAAGCCTATGTCCGTGTTGTTAAGTTTCCGTGCTCTGTCGGTCAGTGTTCGTATCAGTCCAATTTTGTAATTTAATGGTGTGAAACTAAAAAAGTTAGTCAGTACTCCTGTATTTGTTGGTTTATGGTACGTAGAGGTCATACAGTTTTCATGTGATTTAGTTAGTAAGATGTCAAGAAAGGGTAACTGATTGTCTTGTTCGGTTTCGTATGTAAAGTTTATGTTTTGATGTTGTTTGTTGATGTATTCGTAAAAGAGTAATGCTTCGTCTGTTATGAAAAATACAAAAAATGTCGTCAACCTATCTGCGGTAAAATAAAGGTTTGTTGTTGCCGTAGTTATTTAACCAGTTTCGTTCGTGAAAACCCATGAAAATGTTGGCTAAAATGGGTGCCAAGGGTGAGCCCATACTTACCCCGTCGATTTGGTCGTAGTACTTACCGTTAAATAAAAAATGAGTCTCAGCTGTAGCGATGTTAAACAATTGTTTTAGTTCTGTTCTGTTCATTTTGAATGTAGGATTGTTGGTAAAAATTAAATCAATAGCAATGTCTATGGTTTCGGTCAGTGGTATGTTGGTAAAAAGGCTTTCAACGTCAAAAGAAATAAAGAATTTGTCATGTGGAGCGTTAGTGTTAAAAGATAAAAAATCATCGGCAAAACTAAAAGAATCTTTAGCAGAATGGTCATTAGCTATTAGGGGTTGGAGTAAAGAGCTGAGGTATTTGGCTAATTTGTAGTTATATGAATTGATTGAAGAATTTATACCTTTTTACCAACATACCACTGACCGAAACCATAGACATTGCTATTGATTTAATTTTTACCAACAACCCTACATTCAAAATGAACAGAACAGAACTAAAACTATTGTTTAACATCGCTACAGCCGAGACTCATTTTTTATTTAACGGTAAGTACTACGACCAAATTGACGGGGTAAGTATGGGCTCACCCTTGGCACCCATTCTAGCCAACCTTTTCATGGGTTTTCACGAACGAAACTGGTTAAATAACTACGGCAACAACAAACCTTTATTTTACCGCAGATAGGTTGACGACATTTTTTGTATTTTTCATAACAAAGACGAAGCATTACTCTTTTACGAATACATCAACAAACAACATCAAAACATAAACTTTACATACGAAACCGAACAAGACAATCAGTTACCCTTTCTTGACATCTTACTAACTAAATCACATGAAAACTGTATGACCTCTACGTACCATAAACCAACAAATACAGGAGTACTGACTAACTTTTTTAGTTTCACACCATTAAATTACAAAATTGGACTGATACGAACACTGACCGACAGAGCACGGAAACTTAACAACACGGACATAGGCTTTCAACGTGACTTAAAGAAACTAATATTCACTCTCCAACGTAATTCTTTTCCTTTTCATTTCATCAACAACACTATACAACACTATTTGGACAACAAGATAAGCACTGACTCATCTAACGCCACAACTAACACTAACGATATACAACAACCTGACAATAAACGTTATTTCAAACTACCTTACATAGGTGATTACTCACGACACACACAACGCAAACTCAAACAAATCATTAAACGCTACTGCACTGACATTGACGTTAAACTTATTTTCACACCTTTTAAAATAAAATCTTTATTTTCATTTAAAGACCCACTTCCCGAACTTTCCAAATCTATGGTAGTTTATCAATTTTCATGTGCGGGATGTAATTCCCTATATTGGTGAAACTTCTCGCCAATTATCTACCAGGATAAAGGAACATACTCACACAGACAAAACTCCACTATCTACAAACATCTTCAAGCCTCTCCTTCATGTAAAACAAATTCTCACCTTCCTGTTTTAAAATCATCGACACTGATCAATCCACTTTCTCACTCAAAATCAAGGAAGCTCTACACATTAATAAAACTAATCCCGATTTAAATATCCAAGTTCACCACTACAACACTATATTTACTTTATAATAATATTTTTTGTTATAAGTTCTTAATACTTATTTTTCTTTTCCTTTTTTGTAATATATTTTATATTTAGTAACTGAATCATAATCCTATTCATTGTAATTAATTTATTCATATCATATTACGTATCATATTACTTAACACTAACCACTCTGCACTGAAGATAGCATTCTGATAATGTCGAAACATGTTTGCTCTCAAAAAAATCGTCGTTTTTCTCAAGGACTTATAATTACTTTAAACAATAATTTTCACTGCCACTAGTAAGCAAAAAAGAATGCACACTACAATTTGACACTGCAAAACGGAATAATTCAAAGAATTGATAGAGATACCGCTTTTAGTAGAAGATATGTTGAATGGCATATCAGTTGAAAATCTTGTCATTGAGGAACATGATGTGGGAACTAAAACAGAAGTATACGTAAACATAATAAGGTTTATTTTTGGAATTCTTTTTGCTTAGGAACTTTATGCATACTTTTTACAATTGTTTACTCTAATTATTTTTAGTATAAAAATACATCCTGTTGCCATCACATGCAAGGACAAAAAATTGAGTTTTGTGACAGTTATCACAATGACACGATACTTCAAGCTAGCTCAGAAAACTAACCAAGTAAAATTCATAATTGTGAATTTTATATTGAGCAATTAAGCAAATTTGACAACTTAATTCCATCATTTGTTTTTGGTGCTTAAACTAATGAGCTGGTGATATTCACATATTTTATTTTAAGAAAAGTTCTTAAAAAAATGTTTAAGAAAACCTTTTTTCACGAACTTTATTACCTAAAACAATCACATACAATGCAAGCACAACCAAAAAAATGCACAGTTTAACGATGAAAAACGCTGAAAAAACATTAGAAAGTTATTATTTCTAGAAGTAGAATTTCTGGGTAGCTTTATAGTTGAAAATGCTGTCGGCATTAAACGTGATCTAGAAGCTAGAACAAAAGCAAAAATTTTTTTAATTCGCAATATCTTTGTATCGTTTTGAAGATGCCATACTTTAAACCATGGGTCTGAAAAATTAATCGGATCATATATTTCAAAAAAGTTGTTTCGTTTAAACAATAATTTACATATAAAGATCATGAAAACGGCAACATGTATAATAAAGATGAAGAAGTACCAAGCCACATGAACAAGTACCAAGCCACAAAACAATGAGCCTAATGAATAAAATCAAAGCTTACCAACGATATACACATTGACATTCCTCGAATAGCGTTTCATTGTGGTATGGATGATTAGGGTATATTCCCCATTGTAACGTGTATCTACATTTTTTAGTTCTAAGATTGATGGCTTATAAACGTGAATTTCTAAGTTTGAATAAGGATGATAATATACAATTCCTCCATGATCATGCAAGTCTGCAAGTCTTTTACGGGAAGACGAGCCATGGGGAGTAAAAAGCCACATCCGATATATAATTGGGTATGAAACTTTTCGTCCTGGTACCACAATAAATATAACGTCCACGTTATATTTATTGTGGTACCAGGACGAAATAAGAATGTTTTGTTCTTATTTAAAACTGTTATATTTCCTGTAAACAGAAGAGTATTTTTGCATCAGAAGTCAAGAAAATTAAAATTATTTGATTTATAATACCTTTGCAAAGAGAAATAAAAATTGTAAAAAAAACAATTGCAGTTGCAGCTTTCATTGTTCTTCCTAAAACGAAATAGTTTTTGCTCAAAATTATATGTAGCATTTTAAGTATCTTTTAAAAAAACAAATGTTTTTTGCATAAAAATCAAACCAAACTAGCTAAATAGTTAAGATTTAAATCAAATATTGCCATGATTGAGGGATCTAACGGTCTATATTGCTTGAATGGTTTTGTGTTGATAATCTTATTTGATTTGAATAATCCTGGACATAATTCAGGCATTTCCATTATTACTCATTACCTATAAAACCATTGTTTTTTTTTCGGGCGTAGACAATTTACAAGAGGTTTTTTGCCTACAATCTTAACTACTAGGTTTAAGCCACATATGAGTTAATCTAATCAAAAACAATTTATATTTTCCTGAGTCTGTTTATCGGGATCCAAGTAAGTGGGGTTATTTTTATGAATTAGAAGAAGGTCAATATATTAAATTAAATTATATTCTGCGAGAGTTAAGTTTGCTTGAAGAAGGTAACTATAAAACATTCGGAGAACATTGTCAGTTTTATACTTATCACATAGAAAGTTTTCTTCTCAAAGATATGATACTAAAGGAAATGCATATGATAGACTTTGACGCTGTTTAAAAATAACTTTTTTAAAACGATTTGAAATCGACGTTGTGCATAGCACATAATATCAGGATATATGGAAGTATTATATTCAGAAAAAATTTAATTGTAAATATACAGTTACTTAATGTCATGCTTTGATCATTATAACAAGAATTGTGATATGTGCTTGCTTTTTCTTTTATTCTAGAAACAGATAAAATGCTGGCAGTAATGCTGGTATGGACAAAAATACCTTGTACTGTGTTACGTGAAATGAGTAAAAGTGCGGTTGACAAATGTTTTTGCAATTGCTGACCTTTCACCTTTTTGAATACAAGTACATGTAATGCTGTGAATGTCACCCAACTGACGTATGCTCAAATTTCATAGCAAGAACTTCCCGTAAAAATGTGCACAAAATACAACTCAAACTCTGACTCTTTCTCTTAGCGGCTAGCACTCGGTATACATCAGTATTCTATAGCTGTAATACAACGAAAGTTTTCGGCAGAACTTCGTCACTTTATCTGCTGTTTGTTTAAGATTTGTATGTTTTTGCCGTATATGCAAGCTGTGCATCTAAAAATTTATGTGGGCAGACAAAAGAGTAGTTGCAAATTTAAATTATAAGTTACTATGCAAACTAGGCTTTAAAAACAGTATTATAACACTAAACGCACAGAAAAAAACAAAAGATCAACAAACGTTTTAGCGGCAACAACTCAAAAACTACAATTTCAAGGTTGTAAAACTAACTGCAGAAATTAAACGACTGAAACTTTGATAGATTCAGAAAATAATTCGACAAGTCAAGGCCAACTGAACAACTATATCGTATCAAAGATAGTTTGATAAAAGACTATTCAGCTCAAACTAAGCAAAAACGCGGCAAAATTGATAAAACATGTTTTAATTAAAATACAAAGAAAAAGAGACCTTACTTTCTACTTTCGGTAACTCCTCCAAGATCTTGTTTCCAAATAATGGCAACATGTACAAGTACTGATAAATTATGAAAGTCAATATTTACTTTACACTTGATACTTTCATTTGTGAGACAGTGAGTTGAAGTTTCAGACGTTTTCGTGACTTTTATAGAATATTTCTTCTTTAATAGCAATCAACGTTTTTCGCTTTGACAAACAAACATGCAGGAGTTGTCGACAGCGTAAAGATAAAACTTAACATATATACACAAGTTAATTCACCCAAACAGATAACAAATGTTGACAACTGACGAGTTGTTTGCCTAAATGCAAAGTTTCTAAAACAGTTCTTTTCCGAACTCTTGATGTTTTCTTTGTTTTGTCTGTTTAGTATTTTCTCGGTTTTATCTAGGGTTTCGTGGTTTTTATTTGGTTTCAGTCCATTCGCTATGGCAATTGCTCTCTTTAAGGCGATATTCAAATTTGTCACCACGACAAAGTCCCTGTTTTACAGATTGGGATGATGTGTTGCCTAAGAGCGTGAAAGAGAGTTGGGAGAGGTGGCAGAGAGATGACATTGCCTAGGTAAGGAAAATCCTGCAGATTTTGGGTAAGGAGGAGTGTTGGTAAGAGAGTTGAAAAATAATATATTATAGTGGTCAAGACCATCTTGGTTGCGTGCGTAGTAGTCCCGAATATTATCCTATTGCAGTTATCCTATAGGATAGTTTTGGTGTTGTTTGTAGTATTTTTGTCTTTTTTCTTTAGTTGTGAGTATATGATGGGTATGTCGATATGTCTTTTTATTGTGTCGTTGTCTTTACTGTACCAAGCTTCTTTAAATTTGCGTGCGTGTTTAGTCTGTGCGCGTCCGAGTACTTTAGTTTCTGTCCAGTCGAATGTGTGGTTGTTTCCGTGCGTATGTTCTGCCGGTAGTGAGTTCGGATCTCGTCGTTTTATGGCGTTTTTGTGTTCTGTGAGTCTTGTTTCGATTTTCTTTGATGTTTGTCCTATGTATTGCTTTGAACACTCTTTACATGGTATCATGTAGATCGCGTCAGTTGTATCATGAATTGTTGTTTTGTCTTTATGTTTGGTGAAACATGATTTGAGTTGATGTCTGATGGTGTGAGGTGAATTTTTGACTAATGGATACAGGATGTTATAAAGATATTTTGAAAGTTCATACGTAGGTGATCCTGAAAGTGATACGATAGGTCGAAGTGGGTTGTTTTCTTTGTGGAATTTTGGTAGTCCGTAGAATTTGGCGGTGGATGCGTCATTAGGTCGGATTCTTATGTAATCGTCTTCGGTCAGTTTCTTTTTGTCTTTTAGTTGTTTCAGTTTCTGGTTTATGCGGTTGGTGGTCGTTTTGCTGGGGTCTGCGTGGAGAAGTTCGTAGGTGGTGGTGTCTTGTAGGAGGATTTTGGCTTTGTCGATGTATTCTGATATGTCCATGATAACTGTTTTGCGTCCTTTGTCAGCTCGTAATATGATTATTTCGTCGTCGTTTTGTAGGTATTTAAGTGCTCGTAGTTCTTTGTTGTTTTGGTCTGTTAAGTTGGTGTACTTTAAAGCTGATTCCAGGTCGGCAACGTAGTCAAGTTTCATGTTTGTAAATGATGATCGTCCAGGTTAATAAAGTCCTGAGAAGGACTGTTTTTGTTGTTGTTGACTGACGTTTCGACAACCTTAGCGGTAGTCATCTTCAGAGTCTACCGCTAAGGTTGTTGAAACGTCAGTCAACAACAACGAAAACAGTCCTTCTCAGGACTATACCAACCTGGGCGATCTACATTTACAAACATGTAACGATACTCCCGGGTTCGAGCCATTTACTTTAAGTTCGTCAAGTTTGTTCGCGTCTTTGAAGTTGTAATGTAATCCTTTGTTTAAAATTTTAGTTTGCTGTGCAGTTAGTGGTTTGCTCGAGATGTTTGTGACAAATTCGTTTGTGTTAGGATGGAGTTGTTTGTAAGATCTGGATTCTTGTAATTTTCGATGAACATACTTATGTGTATTTTATGTGTATTTTATTTATGTATCTTATACATATTTATGTGTATTTTAAAATTGCCATTACCATGAACTAAAGGAATGTCTCTCATGTTAATTAAAAATCATTTTGCCTCCAGAATGATATACAATACAGTAAAAAAAAAGGGAGGGTTCATTCCTTACGACACATAAGAGCAAAAAGACTGTTTATGCTTGAATCAGTAATAAAGAACTGCTTTTTAATCAATGAATGTAATAAGACAAATCAATAACAAAATTTGGCTAAATAAACTACCAAAATTCAACTAAGCCTGAGACTGTCCTTGGAACAGAATTACTGCCATCGTTAACATATAAATATTGAATTATTTTGTCATCCAAATATTGTAAAAACGACCAATTTCACCGTTTCGTCTTTTTACTCTTATTCCTTTTCTTATGAATCTGCACTTGTATACTTCGTATAACATACAATTAAAACGTACGTACTTCGCAAGTATTCTATCCAAACTTTAATCGGCCGGAAGTTTGTCTTGTGCATGGTGCATATTCAAAGAGTTATCACAATTAACTTCATCCGACGGAAAACCAATATGGGTACATGGAAGTCATAACGTTTAACTCGAAATTCAAACATCATATCATCATAGTGAATAAAACCAAACGGCTCATTTAACGCTTTGTCTTTGTCGAAGCGTTTAGACTAAAAATGTTTACTTTATACGGAATGTCAGTTGTCTTATGTTTCAGCATCGTTTCTTACTTTTGATGAAAAAATATGACTTGTACAAACAAAATTTGCCTTTATGGAAATATTATTCTTGTGATATCCTTTTACGCAGAATTATAATATATATAAAGATTCACTTTAATATGGTAAAAAATTATCATCGATTTCCACTCAATGTACTACCTTTCTTCTTAGGTACTTCATTTTCAAAAGCACAAACAAAAGCATTTTAACTGAAGAAATGCTTAATGATTTTTCTCACAATTTGAAATTCAAAATCGCCATTATTTTCGTACTGCGAATTCAATGAACGGCGGATGGCGTCTTCCAAGTGGTATGAATACTTAAGCCAACACCTTACAGCAAAACAATCTTTTTTCTTAAGACTTACAACAGCAAGTACGCATGTGCATTAACAATAAAACAAAATACGAAATGTAACTTACCCAGATATTTTGGCTTGTTTCTTTGGCTGGTTTCTTGTTGCTTGTCTCTTGTATTTTATACGTCGTCAACAGCACAATGAAAATGCCCTTATTTAATATTTATTTTCGTAGATATTGAGACGAGAGCTAAAGTGTGATCTTCTGAAGTGCTTGATCGGTCTTTTAGCAACTAAACCAACAAACTGAACATTTAACAGCTCAAGTAAGTAAGAAACATGTTCACTTTCGAATGTTCAATTACTATTACTAAGCAGTTTGCATTGTGGAGTGTATATTTAAGGTCATGTGACAATAGTATCAATTTCAAAAACAAATTCTGATATTCATAAAGTTCCTATGGAAATAAGTACTTAAAGGCAAATTAATTGCAAATCACATGAATACATTTTAAAATGTTTGTTTTACATTTGTCTGTTTGCATTATTGCTGTTTTGTAAAGAAATAAAAGATGATTGTGTTTGCACTGGCTTAGTTAAGTCGAGGAGACGTTTATGAGAACTATCAAGCGGGTAAAAGGTGCAACGGTCGACAACTCGACCTTCGGTCTCAAGCTTTCACTGATTTTCTCTCAAGTTTTCCTAAGTCTCCTCAGTTTGTATAAGTCTTTAAATAAAACATAAATAAGTCAGAAAACTATGTAGAGACAGGCAGACTGAGGTCAAGTCAAGGTCTCCAAAAAAGTATTCCTAAAATTAAAATGTTGTGTATTGAAATGTTCAAAAGATGAAAGGTCTATTCCTTTGACCATCCTGTGCAAACATATATTTTATATATTTTTGAAAAACAAGATGAGAAGAGCTATGACTTGTATAATGGTAACAATACCATTATCCAGACAGGACACAGTAGTTAGTGGAACTGAGGAAGGTGGGACAAACCTGATAAGGAACTGTTTCGTTACACAACGTGACTGGGCAGATTAAGCAAAAGTTTCCGGATCTCGTGGTGTGTGGATAATGTTTTTGTTGACTGTGGCAACAGATAAATCATAAGACCACAAAAGATTTTTGTTAAGGACTGAATTTAAATTTTGTGTATAGGTGTAACACAGGTGTAACATAATAACGTTCATTATCTCTGATACTTCTTTAAAAGAAAATTTAAGCAAATGGCTCTTTTATAGCAAACTTTAGCTCTAACCACACAATGCAATAAACATCTCGACCTTCGCCTTAGAGTTAATGGAAATGTTTAATTCAATTTATCCAATGCTCAATCAAAATGCTCCAATCTTGTTATCATATGTATTTTAGTATTTCTATAATTTCGTAAAAGCACTATTGCCAATACACATTTAATATAACGACAACTTTTTTGAAAATAGACATGTTTCGACATGTCATGATGCCATCTTCAGTATGAGTGAAATAGTAGGTGATACAAGGTTTATATAAAAGTAATATGATACATAAATTACAACAATAAAATGGAAATAAGATAAATTAATGAGGAGCGTCCCAGCGTATTATAAACTAAATATTGTATTGAATTTAAAAACTTCAACATTGAGGTCAGGGTTAGTTTTGTTAATGTGGAGTGCTTCTTTGATTTTAAGGGTGAATGAGGTGTCGGGCTGTCGGCAGTGTCGATGATTTTGAAACAAGAGGGTGAATAGTTAGTTTTGCATGAGTGAGATTTAAGAAAGTGTCGGTAGATATGAGAGTTTTTGTCTGCTGTGGCATGTTCCCTCATTCTGGTGGATAAATGGCGCGAAGTTTCGCCGATGTATCGGGAATTTTCATTTCCAAAAGAACAACTCTATACTTCAAACTACCATACATCGGACATTACTCACAACACACACAACGCAGACTTACAAACATTATGAAACGCTTCTGTACAGATATTGACATTCGACTAATTTTCACATCATTCAAAATCAAAAACCTTTTGTCATTCAAAGACCCAATCCCTGGTTCACTTAAATCTATGGTGGTATATGATTTCAATTGCGCGGGATGTAATTCCCGATACATGGGCGAAACTTCGCGCCATTTATCCACCAGAATGAGGGAACATACCACAACAGAGAAAAACTCTCATTTCTACCGACACTTTCTTAAATCTCACTCATGCAAAATCAACTATTCACCCTCTTGTTTCAAAATCATCGACACTGCCGACACCTCACTCACCCTTAAAATCAAAGAAGCACTCCACATTAACAAAACTAACTCTGACCTCAATGTTCAAGTTTTTAAATTCAATACAATATTTAGTTTATAATACGCTCGGACGCTCCTCATTAATTTATCTTATTTCCCTGTATCACCTATTATTTCACTCATACTGAAGATGGCATCATGAGATGTCGAAACATGTCTATTTTCAAAAAAGTTGTCGTTTATATTAAATGTGTATTTTAGTATTGTATGCAAAAAGACTCTTTTGATTTTTTTCCATGTTGTAAGTTCTATGTTTCTTCTCTAGACAACGTTCTTTGTGATGACCAAAAAGAGAGAATAAAACAGTGCAAAACAGAATGGTACATTATTTTAATAACTTTAACATCTGGAATTATCGTTGTAATTTTGGTTTCTATTTTAATTGTTTTTCAATATCGTCGACATTCGTTTTGTAAAAATTGTCAACAATTTCAATCTCCATCTGAAGTTAGGATAAATTCTGTTGATACAAATTATCAAGAATTGCATTTGTCAAAAAGGAATAAAGAAGATAATAATTATGAATCTTTGAAAAAAATAATGAATCGGAGTACGTGATAGCCGACGAAAGAAGAAATTATGAGAACAGTAATTTGTTTTCAAGAAAATCATAAATTTATTCTAAACATGTGTTTATAAACATTTTCCATGTTGTAAAGTCACAATGGCGCTTTTACGAACGTTTACATTTTCTGATAAGATTTGAATTTTGCATCTTTTCCTGCCTTTGGAGCTGCCAATACTTTATGATTTCCAGAAGGAAGGCATTTTTGGATGGGAAAATACACTGGTCATTCTGACTCATTCATTGGTTGTTTTTGATAACAGTGTAAGGTAATACTGTTTTGAATAAGTATTTTCTATTTATCTTACTATACACCTGCCTTCCTGACTTGTTTCCTGTGTATACCAAATTGTTTAGAACAGGATCACGAAAAGGCCCTGAAAAAGCACAAAATCTTATTTCTGATGAACCGAAATCGTAAATTTCAAAATTTGTTTTTGATTAGAGAATGCCTTGAGACCCATCTAGTTAAGAGATGACCATAGTTGGATAGTTAAGAACACCTTTAGTGATTTACTATGGAGCGCCAATCGTAACAAAAATTATTTACAGTTTATATGGTTTCATTTTTAATACAGGATTAGTGGGGTGCTCAACAACACAGAGAGAGCCTCAAGAATACGGGCACCTTTAGAAAATTTACCGTCTTAATACTTGAAATATAAACAAATGTACTGAAGAATCCCAACTGTTTAATATCGCAATGCTCCAGACATACAAAAACCTCCATCATTCGGGAAACCGTGACTCGTCATTAGCCATAAAACACTGTTGTCGTTTTTCCCGTCATATTTTAGCGTAACCTGGAGCGAAGTGGGACAATTTTTCATTCATTACAATGTAGCTGCACAACGAAAAACATTGTTAAGTCCAAATTTGGCCAAAAGAATCCTTGTCATCTAATAATTATTTGGTAGTAATTTTAAAAACAGACTCCATCTTAAGGTCATGATCATTCATGACCTTAAGATGGAGTGATCCTATGATCATTCATGTTTGTGATCCTTAGGTGTCTCACTTTGTTACCTATTGGAAATTATACGAGACTTACCTTAAGTCGAAGTTTAATTATAATTCTATTAGTCATTAGCGAGGAGTGGAGGAACTGTAGGCAGGGGCGAAACTAGCACCTTTTTAATGGGGGGAGGAGGGGGGGCTGGGGATGAAATTGCCCTGCAAGGACATAAGATGCCCTGCAGATCATATGGAACAGTACTTACACTATATATTTTTGTAATACATGTTGTATTTTAGTGGCAGAACGCACTTCAGCATACTATTATATCTTTGATAGCAGTTTTCGCATCTTTGCAGTTGCCCAATTTTTTTAAATAATATTTAAGTCAACATGTCCGTAAGATCTTTTTCACATGCAAGAACGATTAAGTCATTTAATCGCGTATCTTTCATTGTGGATCTCAGGCAGTTTTTGACCATCTTAAGCTTGCTGAAACACCTTTTGCCACGGACACTGGAGCGGTCAGCAATAGTTAATACGCCTTGCACTCCGTTGTAAGATGTTTTTGTGTTTGAAAGCAAATAACGCAACGTCTTGAAGGGATTTAGGTTCTGATTTTAGTTTTTATGACACAATATCGTTGAAAATTTCCAACTCCAACAGCAGTATTTCTGCATCAACATCTTTTACCGCCGGTGGAAAAAGACTACACATTTCATTAACTGTTTCAACCATCGGCCTTTCTAGCTGCAGCTGTAAGCTCTCTCCAAGAGGTTTTATTTTGTCGATGCAATCGTTAATGTTATCGGTAATAAGTGTCCTGCACAAGTGATCCATGTAATATCTTCTTGGTTATCTGAATCACAGTTTGATGACTTTTCAATTTGTGCAGCCTAAACGTATAAAGACATTGTAAAAAAGACACATCCAGTAAATTAAATACAAAAATCTGCTTTTAACAGATGGATAACCTAAGCAAACAACTATTTTCTACTGCTCCAAGTCTCGCTGCGTGACTGTTAACAGAAGTGTCGTCGTCAACAAATAATGGCTCTTCAACAGCCACACAAAGTTCCACTTCTTCGTTTATATTATCATCTAGCATTGCCTCAAATTCTGCTATTTCATGTGTACCAGACGTGTTGTCTTCAATAGTAAACGGATTTTCTGAAACAGCACATGACTCCAACTCCTCTTTGTTTTTTTCTTCATACACAACGACAGCTGTTTCATTTATCTCGTTAAGGCTTTAGGCAAAAATAGGCTAATAAATCACAATGTAATCATCATCAAACACATCATGTAGTGTAGCTACATTTTAAATAACAGAAAAACCACACGGACTACGGAAGCAAGCCATTGTTGCCGATATTCTGATTTGGTAAAAATTCTTTAGAAAATGTTCTAGAAAACTTTTTAACTTACGGACTTATAATTACTTTAAACAATAATTTTCACTGCAAGTAGTAAGCAAAAAAGAATACACACTACAATTCAAATGAACATCATATTTTTGTTAACTTTAACTTATTAAAAATTTGAATTAGCTAATGCTCTCCTCTTTTAGAT